CCACTCCCCCTGTATGTTTGTGGAATAAACAGAAACCTCTGGTAAACAAGGCAGAGTTAGGAACTCATGTGAACAAAAGAATCGGATGGAAACATCCAAAGGAACATCGGTTCTGTTTTTAAAGACAGACATAAACGGAAGAAATCACGCATCCCACAATTTAGGAGCATCCATACTTCCCAGATCTGAGGCTGGTGTGGGTCACCTGCCCGTCTACTCTAAAAACACTGCCCCAGTGTGTCTACGCAGTGGGAGCAAAAAGATACAAAGTTCTTCTGCCCTTTGGACCTGTTTTACTGTTTAACTTCCCTGCAGTTGTCAAGAGTCGGGTTTAAATCGTCTAACGACGACCTGCGGCTGCACCAGCTTTCCAATCCAAAAACACTGGATGTCTCTGGTACTACAGGGAGTCAACCATGGATAAAGTGGGTTTAGGTTTGTAAACCACATAATCAGGAAGTCCCTGCACCAACATCAAACTCTGATCAATGATAGACAACATCACCAAAGTCAAATAACTAATGTTTTAATGCATTTTCAACAAGGTAAGTAGTAAGTTGTAAGGTCAAAAAGTCAGCCTCTCAAAACAGGAAGTATTGATGGTAACAGGCTCATTTCCTCACACGTTCCTCTTGAGAAAATCTATGACGATTATAAAAGCACAGAGGATTCTAAGAACCACTACGCCCCCATCAGGTCAAACACTACACAGTGACACAAAATACCACGAGCACAAGTTGAAGCGTCGCTCCTCACTTCCTGTGAGCAATGACATGTTCTCTGAGAACTTGGCTCTGATGTTCCCTCATCTAAACAGGAGGAACAGCCGCTGCACTCTGGACACCAGAGGTCAGAAGAGTTAACTTCATGAGTGGGTGTGAAGTATTTAAATAGAGTCATGTGATGAGCTGCATGCTTTCACTAAGAACAAGTCACAAGTCACTGCTGATGTCATGAGGCCTGACTCCAGGATCACTCCACTGACAGCCAGGTTACTGACACAAGTCAAGTCCAACACAAGTCAAAGTGTCCGACTGGGAGTACTAGGCTAGATTAGATCAGATTAGATTAGATTGAAGTAATCTAAAACGTGCAGTTACTCGTAACAACGCACAGAGCAAAGAGGTCCTCGTTTCCATGAATCATTCAAATGACCTATGTGTTAAAAGCAGAACCAGAAGTCCATCAGGTTTATTTATTTATTTAACATATTAAAGTAATCTTTGGTGATATAAATCCCTGATGGCAGTCAATTGGTTCTAACAGACTGGAGAATGTTGAGGGTGATTTCTTATCATGAATATTTAATGTAAAGATGAATCTGTTTCTGCTTCTCGCCCTGACAGTGGTGTGGACACCTGAGGATACACTGAAATATGGGTGACGTCAATAAATTACAAATAATCAACCAAATTACTTCAATGATATTAAAATCCACAAGTTACTTTACAGAGAAAAAAATGTAGTTTTTAGTCTTCTAACAAATGTTTTTTTACAGCAACATTTGCACAACAAGGTCAAATATGGTCAGGAATATTCTCCAGAATAAATCCTCACTGAATTTTGTCACAAGTCAGGAACCTGTGACAAAATGTTTCCGAGTAATGGGATCTGGTTTGTTGGAGTGTACGTTGTAATATTTGTTCACATGAACATAGAAAATTCTTGTGATACCATTGAAGAAAAGACCACATCATACTTATGTAGAAGGTGCTGGGGGGGTGGGTTCCCTCGAACTCCAGCTCCAGCAGGTTACTGGTCTTTGGGTCATGTCTCAACCACAGGGCCACGCCCAGGATGACTCCCCCTGTCAACTGGAACATAGAGAACAACATCCAATTTAAAATCTTTTTTTAATAGAGAACAACAACAATGAGTCACAACAAACAGAACATAAAAAAGAATCACATAGGGAATATCCCAGGCCACGCCCACAAAATAAAAAAAAACATCATAAAAGTACTGTCCTGGTTTTTCTAACCAGTCAGTGAATCAGTAGCAACTGGAATAAAAGGTTTTTCCCATTAATATAAATCATATAACATCACTGTCTTCTTCTAACGGTGTTGATCAGACCACCTTACAGGTCTGCAGGGGTATTACTTCAGAAAGTCTGATATGAATGAAACGTGACACCAAAGCTCTGGTCCCCGTCCTAGTGTGGGATCATTTAGTGAGTGTGAATGAGTGTGAAGGGCTGTTCTGTTGGCTCTATACAGTCCAGAATGTAACCCTACCCTCACCCAAATGCTGGCTCCACATGCCCCCAAACCCTGAAGTGGATTCAGCAGCAGATGTGTGAATGAATGTAGGCCTTTTCTCCGGAAGTCACTCATTTTAAAGGCAGATGTTTGGTGAGAGGCGAGAGACACTGAAGTAGTAACACTGTTTAAAACCAGTAGAACTCTGTGATCAATCTGTCTCCAGCTCCTTTGACAGCAGCAACAAAGACATTAGGAGTCAATTAATTCAAGCTTTAAAAAAAAGTTATTTAGTCAATAATGGAAAAAAAATTAAATTCTGAAAACATTTTGTTTTTGTTTAAAATCTAAGCCTTTGTGCCTGCAGTACAGGTTGAGTTTTAATTTATATTAGAATGCACACCAGCCCAGATCCTAAAAGTCTTCAGTCTCATGTCAGGTTTGTTGAAACCCTATTTTTGGAAAAAGTGACATCTCCACAATACACTTCAGCAACATGTGACGCCACTTGTTCCAGAAGAAAGATGAGCAGAAACTCAGTACCTCAGTCAGACAGAAGAAAAAACAAATCCAAAAGCCTGGAGGAAACGCTGTGACATCTGAGGAAACCAGATAGGTGCAGCTTTGGATTAAATCATCAGAGAACCCCCCACCACACCACACCCCCTCCCTTACATCATCAGTGGGCCAGTTTCCTTTAGGGAAACCCTGTACATGATGGGAAGCTTAACTTTTAGTGAATTGTCTACCCTCCCTCACCACCGCGTCATCCCAAAGCTTCTGTGTTTGGAGTGAGACATGGAAGTCCTAAACATAGCAGTCATTGTGTAACTCCATGGTCACAGACGGTTTGAACTTTTCTTTTCTTTTTCTTTTTTCTTCATTTATAATTAAACACTATGGGAAAAAAATTAAAGTCCTGGTGTCAGTGAAGAGACTGAAACCAAAACAGACTCCTCTTTTCCTCAGTCGTCAAACTCCTCCTTTTCCATTCCACAGTTGAGGCCAGGCGCTGCCTGGCAACAGTCGGTGCCTGGCAACAGTCGGTGCCTGGCAACAGGATCAGAACATGCCCACAAACACACGCACTCTCTCTCTCACACACACACACACTGAGTGGCTAACTGAAATAAACTCTCCACCTCCTCCACATGCGAATCACCAATGATTCACTGAAACTCATCAAAGTTCAGAAGAAGATTCCTGAGAAAGACTAACATAAGTCACTTAACTTTGTTTCAGTCTTTTACTTATGGGGCTTGAACCAGGACCAGGGAAACAAATGAACCAGGGTAACAAATGAACCGGGACTAGGGCAGCAGATTTCGTTCATCCCATGTCTAACATTTGTCTCACAGACAATAAAAACTCCTTGAATCCTTGAATTATAGCTGTACTTGACAGAGGCCACGCCCCCCAGGACGGACACTGTATGTTGGTACAGTTGGTACACAACAGGTGTGTCAGAGCCAGGGGGGTCCTCGAGTTCAAGACCTACTTCATTAAGGTGCACCACAGAGTTCCACAGGAAATCATACCAGCCTGAGGCCGTCAGACTGACTCACCTCCTCCCTCCCTTACCTCCTCACGCCCTCCTTCTCACTCATCATTACTGTTACACTACCTGGATGATATTTGGCAATAATCTGATTCAATCAGTTTATATTTGTCTCATACCTTTCAGTTAGCCTTTTTCTGGTACCTGGTACCAAACGAACCAGGTCCTAGTTTTGATCTGGGATCCCGGTGGTAATTTCAATGCAACATGGCTACATCAGACTAAATGTGCTTTAGTACCATTGGTACTGTTTAGGAGGAATGTCAGTAGAAGCCAAGCACAGCTTAATAAACATTTGATTAGGGTAGATAACCTGGCTGTGGGCTACATAAGGTCTAAATGGGTCAGAGATAATGGTAATGAACTAAAACATTTAAAATAAGTTGGAGCTGGATCTGTTGAGTGTGGGACTCATTAATTCACTGGTGGTGGTGGAGAATTACACCGTGAGAGCAGTGCATTCTGTTCTGGGGGGGCAGTAAATTCATCTTCACAGTCGTGGGTTTAATTCAGTAACAGAGGAAAGAGGCTCAGACTGGCGGACGGCAGAGGTCCTAACATCGGTTCTGATGCAACATTAATCTCACTTTTTTAGAATGAAGCACTCTGGGTAAAAATATCAGCTACTGTGAAATCAGTTTAGCCCCAGTTTGGTCCACCCCCACCAGCATCTATTTCTGCTCTTGGACGCTTGTGCAGGGGGTTGTAGAATGCGGGGCATGCTTGTGGGGGGGGGGAGAAAGGGAAGGGGGCAGGGAGTGCTGCTGTCTGCCATTCCCATAAAACCACTATAACCAGGACACACAGGCTTTTACCCCCACCCCCCACCATCATCCACCAACACTCCGCCGCCTGTTGCCTCTTCACCCTCTCAGGGTCTGGTGTGATTTATAGAAACAGCAGCTCCTCCGTTTCTGTCTGTATGAAGTGGGCAGATGCTACAACTACAGCCTGGTCCAGACTGAACAGGTCTGATCCAGGAGTTATTAACCAGCTATTCTTTTTAAACATGAGAACTATGAAAACATTGAGAACTATAACTAAAAATCTTCAAATTTTTGCAAATACACATAAAAATCATTTGAAAAAAATAAATGCATAAAAAACGGAAACTCAAGTTGGACTTCACCAAAGTTTCTTGTGCACCAACTAAAAGCATACATAAAAAATGCAGAATTTAATCACACAGAAAAAAGTCAAATATCATATGAGGTGGCTGAGATATACCATAAACTTAGCAAATAAACGTCACTGAATGGTAACCAAATGATAGTTATTCAAAGGAAAAGAGAGTTAACCAATAATAGTGACTAACTTGCAGGAAAGCGTCAGTTAAAGAAGTGATTCAATGTTTTACCTCAGCAACAACAACAGGCCTAATGAAATGGTGGAAACCAGGAAAAATTTGACTAAATCTCTACGGAAAAACCAGATGTTTGTTGGTTCCAGTATCAACCCCACTGACAGAATGTTTCCATCTGAAGAATTAACATTGTTCTGTTATTTTAGATGCGACAGTTCGGAGGGTTTTCACTGTGACTTTTCCTACGCCCTGCCTCAGCATCTCAGTTAATGTGGTTACTTTGGCAGCATTTTTATTATTAACGCTCCACCTCACAGCTAGTGCAGCTACAGCGCCGCAGCAGCACTTAGTTGCCATTCATCACTGATAATGGCTGTCAAGGGGAACACCATCTGAAGAGACAGCATTTCCTGAAATACTCAAGTGTCTTGAAGGCGCAGTTCAGGTTTGTTTGAAGTATCTTTGTATGAGGTACTGACACAGATTCAGGGCTGATAAAAGAAAAACAGTTTCACTGTAGAAAGACTTTTCCATTAGGAAAAAGAAATGTAATTTAACTCAATGCCAATAACTACCTTTCACATCACAGTCCAGAACAAAGGAACACAGGTTTTAATGGCAGTTGAACAAACAACGAGTCGACAACAGCGGCTTAGTGCAGTTTAACGACCGCGTCTTGCTGCAGTAACCACAGTGTGAAGGAAACTCCACGTGTGTGGAAATCATGACAACTACTGGGTTTTGAAACACTCTTCCTCAATAGAACAATCTGGACTAAATGATCGAGGCAATATGATCAACTTTCAGAACCATGTGTAGACCAGGTTTACATCAAGTCCTCAGTTACAGGAAAGTGTGACCATCCAGGCGAGGACCAGCCGTATGCTGCAGGTCTTTACGCCATTTTATTAACAGTTGCATTAACTTACTTTTTTTTCCAATTCAACTGCTGCCAGACTATAGACAATCAGACAGAAGATGTGATGCCACCACAGAACACGGTGTTAATCGAAGAAAACGTGGATGCTATACCTGTGGTTGTAGACATATCTGCATCATTTTTGAAGAAATGGCAGAGCAGCTAAAAAAATAAGTGTCAAATTAAGTCGTATTTTTAACAATAGAGTGGTTTGAGAACAGAGTCAGAGCATCTTACATAAGAGTCCAACTAAACTTTTCCATGATCCACCAGCAGCAGAACAGAGTCTTCACTGCAACAGAAAACCACTGAAAATCTATGCACACACACAGACGAGTGGGGGGAGAGAGGGGAGTTTAGTTCAAACAAACCTCAGACAAACGCGACAGTACATTTGTCCCTACATCGTAGGAGATCTGGATAAGATTCTACGACTGCTTGAGAAGGCCTTTTAAACATCACAATAAAATGTGGCTGTTGTCCAGATCTGCGCTGACTTTTACTAACATTTTCCACTGACGGTTCACAGGGTGTGGGGAGGAGGTGTGTGTGGGGCAAAAATTATGTTTCCATTTAGGTCCCACAACTCTGTACTGACCTCTGTACTTGGCCTCTCACTTTCTCAAAGTCAAAAATCGAAGTGCCCTAATGATATTTGTCAATGGTGCTAAATAAAGGGTTAAGATCGCAAGATCATTTGAGATAAAAAGACAACGACTCCTATCTTATCACCCACAGGAAGTAGAGACAGAGGGCAAAGGGTAACAGCTCACACAGATTCAACACTTGTCTCGTCTCAATAAGCACTGGAAGCACCACACACTGCAGACAAATCACCCATTTACTGCCATTCATGTTTCAGGGCGCCAACAAACTATTTGTTTAGAGTTGACAGTCCAGATGAATTAGACTAGTCAGTTGGGCAACAGTAAAGGGAAATGTTAGTTGTTGATGTTGAAAAACCACACATACACGATAAACAAAACAGTCAACATTAGTGAAAGCACAAAGTGACCCCACCCTCCACGAGCCTAAGGAGTCACAGGTGATGTCAGCGACAGCAGGCTGATGGATGCAGTCAGCTGCTGACAGTCCACTACACTGAGAGGTCAACTAATGGTACACCATACATAGGTCCTGTAGACTGGCTGTGTCTGGGATCACACCCCGTCACCCCCAGACGTCTCCCCCAGAGTGTGACTGTAATATCACAGGGTTATTAGTCATCAACTAAAGTTACTGGAAGTTGCAACTCTTCTTTAACACTGACTATATTTAAACTACCCACAAGATAACTCTTATGACAGTAATATCCGGTCTAAACGTTGAGCCATCATGTCACCACACCATTGCTACCTCAATAGCTGACCTTTAGATTGTGTTCTGTAGAAAATTAAGAGAACAAAGACTATAGCACAGTGTTAGTTGAGCAACAAATTCCAAACCAATGCTGCTGGAAGGCAAACATTACAATGTCTTTAAATGTGGAAATCAACAGAAGAGAGGAGAAAATGTGTGGACTGATGAGGAAGCCACAACATTCCACCACAAACATCACGACAGTGGAATGGGGGCAGCAACCAACACACAATGACACGCCTTTACTGCATCAAGCCCTCATCTTCTTCAGCCACTGTGATTTATTGCCACGGTGAATGGAAAAGTATTTAAAAAAAACAACACCGATAGATTCAAATAATAGGTGTACATGAATTTTAACAGCTCTCACAAGGATAAAACTGTTTTGGGCAACAAGTTATATAGATGGAAAAAAAAACTAAAGTATGTAGCCATGTTTTTATATATCAAGGCAAGAACAGAGTTTTTGTTATTTTTCCACTTTTGAAACATTAACTAATTTCAGGAATTTAATGATATTTTTGGTATTTCCAGGTTCATCTTGTACCCTTTTCTAAATGTGTAACTATTTTAATAACTTTTAAATTCCAACTATCTTTTGGCTATTTTTATCACTATGTTGTTATAGTTTGTGTTTAGCTTTATTTTGGGGTAGTGTGACATTTCCTGGTTAACTTGTCTTAAGGCTGTTTTTCCTGTCTCACTTTCAATTCTTTCCAAGCTTATATTTAGCCAGGTTGGTTAGGTTCAACTATTTCATCTAACTTTCAGTTTTCTTTTCCGACTTTGGTAGGTTTTTACCTCACCACTGTTACGTTTAAACTCCTTATTTGCTTAGAAAATTCCAATAAGCAGCACAAACTGCGTTTTCAAATCATTAGAAATACGTTAACGAAATATTTTCAGTCCACTATATTGGTGAGTAACATCAATACATTTATCAATTATTTTGTACGTTTCCATTCATTAAAATGCTTTTAGAAGACTGCAGTGTGTGGTCATGCGCGTGCTCGTGCGCACTCTCGTTTTATTTCTTCGCCATGTTTTTCTGCTGTTCAAGAAAAAACATCGTCAGTTTGGTCCTGCTTCATGTTTTGTATGAAAATACGAAAGGGAAAAGACTAGCATGGCGTCACGTGCTCGTCTTGAAGCCGCCATGTTTCAATGAGGTCAGAACCGTTATAACTAAACGCAGAAAGCATATGTTTATGTTAACTAAACAGCGTGCTTACCCAGAAAATGAAGTTGAAGAAGAAGAGCAGATATTTAATGCATTTGGTGCAGCCTTCCACTCCCATGGCGATGTCGGAGACAAAGAGTCGGTGAACTGTAGACAAGGAAAGAAAACGGCGGTAAACGCAGTTTGGCGTCTGAAACACTTCAGCGTTGGACGATTGTTTGCTCAGACCGAAGCTCAGACAGTCGACACACCCAGGGGCTCAAAAAACCACGCCTACAACACAATAATGACTCCGCCCTCGGACGGTGTCTGATTTTTCCTCGGTGGGAAAAAAAAGGTAGAGAAGCGACACCTGCTGGACCGGAGTGAAATCTTTCCTTTTTAAATGAACGCGAGAAGACCTTTGTCTCTACAACTGTCTCAACAAGTGGTTTTATGCTTCAATCCAGCAAAAATTATAATAATGAAACAAAAAACAATAGCAATATTAATGATATTAATATTATTTCACTCATTATTTTATGATTATTTAATGATTTTTCTGTTCACTGTATGTTTAACATTTGATATAAATATATATTGGTGTGTGTATTTTCCAAAGATTAGATACAATGAAGAATGTTTAAAATATTAGTTATTTTATTTCAGGATAAAATAAGATGGAGGATGTTCTTGATAGATGTGGATATATTTTCACAACATGTGACATCACACAAAATGACATCACTGAGATTAAACAAGCTAATGATAGACATTAAAGGATTGTCCTTTAATCATTGAGATCCCAAAACCAACCCCTTTGTTTACACTGATATTAGGTTAGGGGTTGACTTGTTTCGTCATCACTGATTAACACAGACATGGAGAGTAACAGCTTTGAGTTACTGTCATTTCCCAGAAAGATCACACCATGTTTAACCACATCAAGAAATGCCTTACAAAATGCTCGAGTCAGCACTGCTGCAGTCAAGAAATCCAGAACCAGACAACTGCACCGAGTTACTCCATCATCTGAGCCTCCGATGTCAGAGGGTTTACCAGCAGAACCCGTTACTAAAAGTGAAAGCGGCACACAGACACTCCTTCATCCAATGGAGACAAACATTGTTAAATCATATGAATGGAATGAGTGGGAGCTGCGAAGGAAAGCAATCAAACTGGCAAATATTCGTGCCAGGGTTACTCATGCGACTCAGACCAAGATGAGCCACATGAGACGTGAAAACGGCACCCAGACCTGGCTGCCGGCAAACGCCACTTCTCAGTGCAAACGAGATGGTTACAGTGGCGTTCCCAGACCCAGTGTCTACCATGCCGGTCTGAGGGGACAGAAGGAAACAAAGATGGTCAAGGTAAACCTGACCAGACCAGTGGATGAATGATCACAACAGGTCAACGACTACACAAGTCAACATGATGACAATGGATTTAGGCTAGGTCCAAATCTACAGAACCAGACCCCCAGTGTGGGAGATAACCCAACAAGACCTTTGGACAAATCCCTTCTCTTATGATCACCACAATGAATCCAAACTTTGTGCTGCTATTAGCAAAAAGCTCAGACCAGGAGGCCGCATACCAGGAGTGCCAGACCATCTTTCAAAACCCTTTCAGACAACCCATTACCATTGAAAACAACCTGTTCAAGAGAAGAAGAAAAAATCAGATGTCAAATGTAATAAATTGATCAGGTTGACGTGAAAATGGAAAACTTTTAAACTGGCAAAAATTCATGCTGAGGTGACTCACTGGACTCAGACGGAGATCCCTGCTAACACTCATCAGTTGGAGTCCACAGTCTGAGCTGTTCAGGTGACAGGAAGGAACAACGTTGGTCAAGGTAAAACATTCCTCTACTAATTAGATATGAAGATGAGTTATCAGACCTAGTCATGTTCTAGGTCTAGTCTCAACAACATGGGAGGGTGGTGGGGGGGCTGTGGAAAAAATAGTCACATGTTATAAATTGAACAACTTGCAGTGCCAATGGAAAACTATTAAACTTGTAAATATTTGTGCCTGGGTGACTCACTCCACTGAGACCCAGATGGCCACTAACACTAGGTAAACATGACAAGACATGTGTGTGGATGAATGAACACACTACATCAATGAAGTTAGTTTGCTGTCATGGATTTTCTTTTCAGTCTAGCTACCGTTATCCCTTAAATATCTTCTAAAACATTGGTAATTTGACTGTGGTAAATGAGGTTGCATGGGATTGTGCTGCACCAACTTCTGCCTTGTGTCAATCTCCAATGTAGGCCTGTTAGTGTAAATATTGTGTTTTGTCTTGTTTTGTGGGTTAAGAAGTGAGACCTGTTTCGTTATCGCTAACTTTTGTTGTGAAATCCCCTAGAAAGGGGTCAACCGGATATGCGATTGTTGTTAGTTTTGTTGATGACCTTTGTTGTGAAAGGACTTAACCGGAAGTTCAGTGCACAGGCAGAAAGAAAAAGACTTTGTTGTTGAAACAGATTGTTTAAGAGTACAACAAATACACAGCGTTGCAGAAACAGACATTTAGCGGAGTCTTTTACTTCATACCGATGACTGTAGTTTGATTTCTTTAGAGAAAAAGAGCACAAAATGCAGCTTTGACGGAAGCGGAGCGGCTCACTTCATCATCGGCTCCTCGTCTGTCAAGTAAATCTTCTCCTCTTCTGTTTCATTCAAAACTGTTGCTTTGGTCACAAAATGAAGTTTAACGTTTCGACTTTTCGTAAGGTTCAATTTGAAGCTATATCATTGGCGTTGTTAAACAATTTAAGTGAGCATTAGCTTAGCCAGGCTAACGTTGATGAGTTAGTTAGCCTCTCAATGTTAGCTTCAACAGTCAAGTAAATAAAGCAACAAACACCAAAACTAAATGACGTCCATTCTTTACAGTCGAGCGATTTATCAGTTTTATTTCACGTCACAGCGCAGTGCTATATGCGTTTGCATCAGAAGATATACGTATATAAATATATATATATATATGTATATGCATGTACGTGTATGTCTACATACAAATGTATACAGTATTTATATATACATATTTCGAAGCGCTTGTACCATCAATGTGGGCTGAGCAGTAATGATGGGAGTCCGTCCCAGAAGAGTTGATCACATACAACGTATATTTTGAGATCAGTCTGATGAAAGACAGACAACAACAGGTTCTAACGACTTTCCTAAATCTGCTTTATTCTTCAGTTTGTACTTTGTCAAATATTTACAGAGTAACCCTTGTGTGTTGTTGAGGTTTGATTGTTCTGGGTGTTTACTGTGTTGCAGCCTCGACTGTGCAGCTGAACACCGACAGCTGCAGCTCCGATATGACCAAGAGAAGTCCTTCTCATCAGCTGTTCAAAAGGTGAAAAGACAGTTTTTCTTACCGTAACATCTTGTCAGAGAACCAGTGACCAACCCACTGCTGAATGAATCGACAGCTGGTATTTAAATATGACCATTGATCATTTTGATTTAATTTCTCTGACAATATAAATAGGCTTCCTAAATATACTATAAAATACTTTTAAATATAAAATATTCATAAAACAGGGTAAACACGGAAGGTGTCTTTAGTGGTACGGCTCTATAATGTAAATAGTTGCAAGAAGTTAAAATACAAATTAAATATAACCCCAAAAAAACAACTTTTAAAATCAAAGTTTTAAAAATTAAACAATTATAAGTATAATGTAAAACGCTAACAGATAGTGGGGAATAAGCAGGCTTTTGGCTCGTAAAAATTCTTAGATGCGGTAACTGATAAACACTGGTAGAAAATGCTTGGCATGGTTTTATACCGTGTGTTAGGTACAGATGAACTTTACCGTTGGAAATATGACAGGATGCTGAACCATCACTGCAGAAGGAACCCGGAGCTTCATGAGGAGCTGCAGATCCAGGCTGCGGTGGCAGCCGGAGATGTCTGCACGGTCAGGAGGATGCTGGAGCACGGGTACTCGCCAAAAGTCCGTGATGCCAATGGCTGGACGTTGCTGCACTTCTCTGCTGCCAAAGGAAAGGAGAGGTGTGTTAGGGTTTTCCTGGAGCATGGAGGTGAGTACTATTCTTTTTTTAGTTTAAAATGCTCTTAATTTATTGCCAAAGATCATTTGGCTTCTGGTTTGTGCTCGGTTTGAACACTAGAGGGCAACATATGACAGTACAATAAAGATGGGTAACCAACACTCTCCCAAACCTAAGACCTTTCATTTACATTTTTTTGTGTAGACTGGACGCAGCAGCTACTGGTCCGCTGCTGCCCCATGTGGTCATATTATGTCACTAAGGAAAACATTTACAAAAAGTTATTAATATTGAAAATACTGACAAACTTAATCTTTTGATCATGCAGACTTCAAAACTGAAAACGTTTCTAACCATTGCCTTTGTTTTTTATTTTAAAATAAAATAATTTAGTTGTAATAAGCTGATAAAATATATAACAAATAGACCTGAGGTGTATCATTTTACTCAATGTTTAATTTCTACTCCTTCTTTAACAGCTGACCCCACAGTGAAGGACTTTATTGGCGGCTTCACAGCTCTGCACTATGCCGCTATGCACGGCAGAGCTCGAATAGCCCGTCTCATGCTGGAGTCCGAGTTCCGCAGTGATATCATCAACGCCAAAAGCAATGACGGCTGGACACCGCTGCACGTGGCGGCCCACTACGGTCGTGACTCTTTCGTGCGGCTCCTGTTGGAGTTTCAGGCCGAAGTAGACCCACTCAGCGACAAAGGCACCACACCGCTACAGCTGGCCATCATCCGCGAGCGCTCCAGCTGCGTGCGCATTCTACTGGACCACAGCGCCAACATTGACATTCAAAATGGCTTCCTGCTGCGATATGCCGTCATCAAGGGCAACCACTCGTACTGCCGCATGTTCCTGCAGCGAGGAGCGGACACCAACCTGGGACGGCTGGAGGACGGACAGACGCCACTGCACCTGTCCGCCCTCAGGGACGATGTGCTGTGCGCTCAGATGCTCTACACCTACGGAGCCAACACCAACACCCGGAACTACGAAGGACAGACGCCTGTGGCCGTGTCCGTCAGTATGTCAGGAATCAGTCGGCCGTGTCTAGACTTCCTACAGGAAGTCACCAGTAAGTTTCACTAACCAACCACACACCACTCTCAGTCCAAGGTGGACTCCACAGAGGTCATTAGTAATCATACAGTTCTTCTATAAACTGGCAGTGTTGTCATTCTTTCATTTAAAAACAAAAGAAAACATGACAGGTGTGAAGAGGAACATGAACGCAGGGTTAGAAACACATCGGAATAAAGTTGAGGAAAAGGAGAGGAAAAGACAGAGGTTTGAAAAGACTTTGTTACAAAACCATTCAATGTAGATTTTATTTACAGTAGTCGAATAAATCCACAGGTTGGAAGAAGTAGTAATAGGATAAATAATAGGCAGTAATAATATTATCTAGAGCTTCCTCACTGTTTGTGTCAGGTTACTTAAAGAAAGAAGATTATTAGAAAAGTGGAAAAGAAATTTAAACAAGTAAACAAGTATTTAAACATGTAAAAAGAAGATAAAAAAGAAAAAAAAGTGTAAAAACCTGTGTTATGACTACACACTTGTCCTGGGGCATTAATGAGTACAGCTGGGGTGACCCCCGCCATCCTCATGAAGGGGCCGGAGCCAACAGACATTATTTGGAAAGAAAGTACATACCGTAAATTGTCGTGTTTCCAGCAGGAGGCGTCAGTGAGCAGTGTTCAGAGACAGAAGAATCTTTCTCCTCCACTGTAAGGGAGAAAAGAAAAAGAATGGAACACGTTACCTGCAGTGTCTGATTCACACAGAACAATGGTCGCATTCCACTCTGCTCAGCTTTGATATCAAAGGCCCTTCCACACACAGGCATCAGACAGATCAGTTTTCTGACAGATCACCGATCAAACCTGGATTAACTCAAACACAGCACCAGGCTCCGCCCACCGCCACTGACAGACGGCCCAGGCCCTTTTCACACACACAGGGTTCAGGTGGCTACCGCTAAATCTTTCTCTTTTAGAAACAGCCAATCAGAGCCTTCCTGTAGTTCATGTCGAACTGACAGGAGTGTCGACACTGTCAGAAGGTGGTCAAACCCCTGAGGTCAGGGAGGCCCCCTGTGGTGGTTCACACTGCTTTTGAACACATTTGCTTCTACTTGTTGATTGGACAGAAGTTCATATGGTAAAAAAAGATCTAAACTTTTGAATTTTAGTCACAAAGTCCTAACAGTGAAATCCCTGTTACTGCAGGCTGGAACACACACAGGAAATCAGATGAAAAGAGTTCTAGGATAATACACTGATGCTGCTGCAGGTCATATAGAAATCAGGAAAAAGTATTTTTAAAAAGTAAAGCAATAGAAAATGAACAATGGATTAAAGTATAAATATAATATAATTATTAAAAGAATGAATGAAAATCAGTAGCAAAAAACTTAGCAAAAAGTTCATGTGAGAAACAAACATATCTAAACATAGAAATATATACATATATTACCACACATATATGTTCAAATGTATACATGTATAATTTGATTTAAAATGCAAAACTAAATATAGAAAATAAAGCTAAATTGTGCAGAAAATACAGGCTAGAATGATCTAGAACTAAGTGGCAAAAAACAGTGGATAACCAAAACCTAAAGGTGGGCGGGGCTAAAAATCTAACCAAATAAACTAAAGAAAATGAACTGAGACAGGATTAGTTGACAGTTAGTTGACGTTAACCTGGCTTTGACATGTCCCTGTTCCCTTCCAGAACAACCACGGAGTCTCCAGGACTTGTGTCGAATAAAAATCCGTCACTGCATCGGCCTCCAGAGCCTGAAGTTGTTGGAGGATCTACCGATTGCCAAAGTGATGAAAGACTACCTTAAACACAAGTTTGACCACGTGTGACCACAACGACGTGACGAGGAAGAACACGAAAACTGAAACTGTCACAGATGAAGACTATGCAAACACATCCAGCCCACAGGTCTGGACCAAACAACTGAGTGACGACCAGTTCGCTTTGGTCACTTCACTCGCCTGCTTTGACCCTGTCATGCCAGCAAGGGCGCCACCTGGGGGAGCCAAGATGACATTTATGTTTGGAGATGTGAAACCTGTTTGTGTTCTTACTGTTGGTGATCAAACCTTTCAGTTTCTGTTCTAGAATCTTCTCATCTATGTTCACACACAGAGAGAACAAGTATTCTGTCCCAGTGATCGGGACGCACAAAAAAATCTTGTCCACAAACATTCAAAAGTCTTTGGTTTAAGCAGCTGATATCTGAACTTTGCCCCGCCCCTGCCCATGTTGAATCATGGATGTCATAAGTAGAGAATGTGGGCACATTAGTTGATCAAGTGGGCCACGTTTGTTTGAAGTTTGATTTCCCATTTCTGAGGACCAAGTTTGGCCAAATCTAATCTAGACTGTGGGCTACATCCTAAACAAAGTTTGAAAAACTGTGAGATTTTCTTAAATGTATTCGTCTCTACTTGCAGTAGGCCACATCGCACATCGTCATTATTCAAAGCTGCCCACATTTGACCCTTTTCTAAGCCTATGTTGGACAGTGACATTTGAAGAACCCGGTTTTGTTGAAGTTTGTAGGCCACACCAATGTTTACAATATTTTTGGACTAATCTGGTTTAAATCAGCTTCATCTGATCTGACCTGAGAAATGTGTCCCACCTTTTGGGGGTCTGTAAGTGAGATGGTTGTGGTTGAGGTTTGTGGTCTCTTCTCTTGTGGCCCACACCAGATGTCCAGATTATTGGTATCTTAGGCCATATAGGCCACACCAAGTCAGTAGCGGGACTGTAGAACACATACTCCTGTGGCCCAATTGTACGCTTATGGAAATGAGACATGTGCCACAACAAAGGTCCTTTTTTATGTGGGCAAAGTGAACTGGTCCAGTCAGGATCCTGAATTGATTTTTCTCTACTTTCACAATGTTGCTTCTGTCACCACCTTCTGTTGCTTCCTTAAAAAAAGCACAATAGTTTTTTAAACTGCTCCGTCACTGAGTTGACATCATGATACCCAGCCCCAACAGTTGGTTTAGTTTTTGAAAATGAGGGAGTTTGTACGTTTGACAAAATGTGTGAAGATGTCGTTACAGTATTTCTTTTTATATAAAAAGTGTTTGGATATTCTGTCAGTGAATTTTACCTGAAGTAAAAATGAATGAAATTCCCCAATGAATCAACATCCATGAAAAAAAGGAGAAAGTGACCTGCAGCCCACACTGCCCTCACCAAGCAGCTCTTACACTCATACTTTAAACAGGAAACAGAAACATTTTAAACCCCAGTAATCCAGGGTCCAGAAGGCAGAATCAGCCATTTTACCCCACTGCTGCCCTGGTCAGTGAGCGCCCCCTCAGAGAGACCACCTGACCACAGCAGCAGCAGGAGACGGCCAACAGATTTCTGAAAGGACCCTGGTGTGGGACAGGAAGCAGTCAGGCCTGCTGCCTCCTGTGGCCAGTTTGTGTCACTGTGGTTAATTGGAACAAAAGTCTTGGAAAATTTAAGTGACCATAAGTTGAACAGAATCCTCACTTCTCACACACACTCAGACACACAATGGATGTAAATATGTAAAACAGATATTTTTCTAGACTTATTTAAGCAAATGTCTTTGCTCTTCTTAAATGTATTTAAAGTTAATATTAATATAATGATGTGCTTCATGTTTATTCTTTGTGTTTCATGTTTGTTTGTTTTTTTCATGTGTATTTCTTGTACTAGAACTGTTTGGTACCGATTTGTCTCTTTTTTTAATTTTATCTGGCAGGAACATTTGGGTGCTGACTTTCAATCCATCACTCTGTTTGTGGAGATGAAACTGTGAACTTTTTCATTCGGACGATTAAAGTTTAGGCTCTTAATAAAACTAAAAGAAACTGTTTTTATTTGAATGGATTTTGTAACTAAAATATTTACCGTAGCGTTCATTTATCTAACTTTTCACTAAATTGTGTGGGAGAAGGAGTTGTTGCTAACACGCTGCTACATGGCCATGTCTTTGACCAACGTGTATGACTCTAATAAAAAAACAAAAAGTAGGGGACACCGCTCAGCAGAGTAACGACAGTTCAGACACCGCCACATCAAGAATCGTTTAAATGTTGTGCACAGAACACAATGAGTTCAGTTCACACAGCAGGAACAGTTCAGCACAGTGAACTCAGTTCAAGCTCAGTGCGTACAGCCCAGTAAATGGAGTCTGAAAGTCGTGTCTAACTATTGTCATGTTACTAATGAGTATTAAACTCTAGTGTTTCCTGTTTAGTGATACTACAATCGTAGTCTGGTCATGTTTAACCATAAATATCTTGTTTTGAACTTCCTGATCAATAAAAGGAAGTACATTTACATAAACACAGCCTTTTGATAGATTTGTCAGAAAGAAGTCCTTTGTTCTCCGACTTCTGGACCCCCTGACTCGGCAGGACCACGGCTGACCTCCGATACGGTTTCGTCTCCTGGACACAGCCACCAGAATAAAGAGTTCCTTCATAAAAGAACCAGTGGAGACCAGCAGCTCCTGGAATCCTCTCATTTCCTGTTTCACTCAGTCAGTACAGTACAATCATAGCAACCACAGAAAAAGAAGAGAAGAAGAGGAAGTGAATCTGATCAGAACAGAGAACAGCTGAAGAGGAAGTGAATCTGATCAGAACAGAGACGCAGCTGTAGCGTCGCAGACGGCCGCAGCAACAGACCACACGGGTCATTCCAGAACATTTACAGACTGTTCCTTTTAACAACTTAAACAGTTAGAACAGAGGCTACATCAACGCTAGCAGGTGTTAGTAGGACTGGGTAATAAAGAAGCTGCCATCAGAGGATGAAGACCATGAGCTTTAAATACCGGGGGCAGAAACCACTGCTGAATGTGCCATCCCCAGGCCCCCTGGGGGTTTGAAGAGAGAAGTGCATTGAGTGTACATCCTCTATTCTGCATTTTCAACTAGCAAGCCCAAGATCACATGTGGCCCATCTACAGCTTCACAGTGGCCTACTCTGTGGTCAAGACAAACAGGAGAGTGAAGAGAAAGTTCCAAACTTTAGCAGTTCTCTGTCCAAAAGAGCAGAAATACAAACTTCAAAGTAATGTGTTTGATGCCCCCCCACCCACACACACACACTTTCTTGTACACAACATACCAACCACGGCGGTAAAAACACAGCGATGTGCTAACATTACATCAGAAGAAGTGACTTTCTCCCACAGCCTGTGGTGAGTGATTGCTGCATGTACCTGATACAGGTTAGACGGGTGAGACGGGTGAGACAGTGTGAAGGTGCTGGATCAGATATGAAAAGGAAGAGTCGTTTTGATATTTTTAGACAAAGCTGCTATTGTTAGCGTGTCTGAAGGCCACAGAGGGACGCTATTGTCTCGCGGTGTAATGCCACCGCTGATCTCGTCAGTGATAGCGCCCTGTGTTTGGTAAAGTTAGACAGCAGCATATCACAGCTGGTCCCGGTGCGGGTCTGGAACGAGTCCTGCTGAGAAACAAACCAAGGTGAAAACAGAAACCAGCTCTTTTACCTCCACATTCCTCAGAAAGAGTCCAGAGAAATAGGAGAAATCGGTACTCAGCCCTGAGAAAGTGCTGGCTTCTGCTTTCATGTTTCTTACCAAGAGGGGGCAGTGTAGCCAGGGGGGCGTTGAGTTTATTCCATTAAAACAGCCTCGATGTTCAGCGATTTTACTCTGTGGCACTGGTTCCCAAAGTAGGGTGTGCGTCTCCTAGAGAGGTCGTGAACCTAGAACAGAGGGGACACGAAAAAACAAGAACAAAGTCCATCTCAAAGAGGTTCTGTGTTGTGGCTGAAAATAGGGGTGGGATGGCTCAGAATTGTCTTGATATTTTTCACCATTTCATCATTTTACTGATTTTTTTTCTCAATGAGAAAATGTGGAAAATAGTGTTTAAAGTGACAGTTGTGATGTCGGAGTGGGACTTGTCTGGTCTACAAAAAAATGGAACCCTTGTTTTGGGACGGGGAGGGTATGTAGTTTGTGTGACAAACAGTCACGAAAAACAACGCATCTGAATCTGACGGTGGAGGCCACGGTGGTTCAACCCCTGGTTCCAGTCACTTTACTGAAGAAGAGTCTTAGTGACTCGGACGTCTACGACTCGTAGCTGGTGTAGGGAAAATAGTGTTTAAAGTGACAGTTGTGATGTCGGAGTGGGACTTGTCTGGTCTACAAAAAAATGGAACCCTTGTTTTGGGACGGGGAGGGTATGTAGTTTGTGTGACAAACAGTCACGAAAAACAACGCATCTGAATCTGACGGTGGAGGCCACGGTGGTTCAACCCCTGGTTCCAGTCACTTTACTGAAGAAGAGTCTTAGTGACTCGGACGTCTACGACTCGTAGCTGGTGTAGTTGGAGATTCTGGCTGTTTTTTTTTTTACTCTCAGACAAAGACTGTATTGATAGACGTGTTTCCTCGTCTCCTTTACTCCAGGTCACCTCTGAGAGTTGGAGTGGAACAGGAGAACAGCTGATACGACCTGAGAGCAGCTGCCATTAACGCATAATGTTTCTGTGTGTGTGTGTGTGTTCGGTACATCTAACATGACCAACTTGACAAATAAAACTGATGAGAAATTAGGATTACTCCAGTATTTATTTGGGAAAACTACAAATACCTGCAGCGCCCCCAGTGGTTGTAGCCTCTCAGAGGGAGAGAGAAAGGGGAAGGGGGGTCAGGAGGGACGGAGAGAGAGAAAGAGAGAGGGGCGGGGGGTCCAGGTGTTCAGATCCAGACAAAGAGTCTCTTCATGGCTCTGATGAACTCAGTGTTTCTTAACCTGTTGTTAAAAAAAAAACAACGTTAAAGATATTACAATTATAGCAAGAAGAGGAGGAGGAGGAGAAGCTGCACTCTTGTCCTTCATCACTGGTGTCAGTGATGAAGGTCAGAGTTTAATACCATCCCTGGACAGGAGGTGGCGACACCAGGGCGAGGTCTAAACTGATCCACTCACACTGACACTGACAGGTGTAACGTCTACAGTTAAACACACAGTGTGACGTCACTGTCGTTGTAAACTCTGGAATTCTGCGTCAGTTCTGTCACTGAAGTTGAATTCAAAATAAAAAGCGTCTTTCATCCAGGGTTAGTCTGTGACGGCTCAGAACTCTTTCTTCTCCACAGACGCTCGTCATCAGCGCCCATTCAGCTCCGCGGCTCAGCTTCCACTCAGATCCATGTCTGCCTCACGGCCGTCTGTCATCCCACCTGGTCTGGACCATGACAGCAGCCAGACCCCGGTCTTTGATGTCACACAGAGACTCTTCCTCCCGGACATTTCTCAGCGACTCACAGCAGCGCGGCCGTCTGTGGCGGCTTTGTGTTTCCACATCAGACCAATTTGCAGCTCCATTCAGCGGCAGCAGCAGACAAAAGCAGTCGAGATGCAGAAGCTCTGATCGCAGCAGCAGATTAATTTTCCCGCCTTTCAGTTATTCCACCGTACGCTCCAGGAAGTAGAACGTTACCACAGAGGAAGTCTGATGAGGAACCGCAGTGAAGATTCTTCTGAATATCGACGGTACCGAACCAACGTCACTGGTCAACAGAACTCAGAAGTGGTCAACGATCCCTGAAATGTCCAGACGTGTTCTGTGGAAACAAAGTCAAATCTGTGTCACCACATCAAAGAACAAACTTTCTCAGAAATCTGAGTTTAAAATTTAATTTCCAAGGTGAGAATTTAGGGCTGTATTTTACTGCACGGAGAGAAGATAAAAAAAATGGAAAAGTCTTTGCTTTGAAAAACGTTCGAAGTAGAGTCCAGTTCCATTTCACAGTGAACAGAGAACAGCAGGAACACAGTACCGGCTGTAACTGCAGCTGGAACAGAACTGTTGACACAGTCATCGGTCCTTTGTTCCTGCGGTGATCAACAACAGTCCAGTCAGTGGAGCGTGACTTAGTCAGAGTCAGGAATTCTGACATCAGTGCAGCCATGATTGTAATTGTCTTGGAAACCTGCAGATGGCACAACACTGGAGCGGAGGCAGAAGGTGAGCAGCCCCAATTATCCAGAGCAGCCAAGCCTGGAGGAGGAGAGGTCACCTGACCAAACTTTCCCACGACACCACTGCTCTCCGTCCACAGAGAGAGTGGAGAGGAAAGTGAAATTAAAATAATAATATATAAACAACCCCGCTGCACACACACACACACACACACACACACACACTGTTCTTTGACATCAGGCGCTCAGATTCTGCTAGGTGACAGTATTGCATCTGCAGTTTTTTTTTCGTTCCTGGTGGAAGCTTGGAGAAAGGATTGTGGGTAAATATTGCACAAAAAAAAGTAGTCTCACAGGCTCACTGTACAGACGTCTCAGTCACAGAGTGAGACCAGAGACCAGAGACCAGAGACCAGCAGCAGTTTAGCCCATGGTCCCTTCATCAGTTTGGGAATTTGACTGGTTTTTAATATAAAAGGAGAAATTTCACTGGACGTCAGCGTCCACACAAGAACCAGGCAGCTTATTTACATGGGCTTTGCATGACATGCACACACAGACAGATAACACACACACACATACAGACACAGACAGACACACACACATGCACACACACACACACACCTGACTCCCTCTCTCATTAGAAAGTGTCAGGAAGTTGCTGAAGTGAGAAATGAGGCTGTGGAATCCTCTGCTCCTCATTAAACTTTGACACACTGATCCACAGAGACCGACCCAGGGAGACAAAACCAGACTGTGCCTCAGTGTGTGAGTCGGCGGCCAGAGCCGCAGCTTTGTCCACCAGAACAAAAGGCTCTGTTTGCATGCCCTCTGTGGGCTCCATTCAGCCACCTCCAGGCACAGGTGCTGCAGCAGGAACATCAGTACCGATCACACCTCGGCCGGCCTGACGAACAGTCGGTGGTCAGGCCCGGTCAGGGCGGCGGGCGCTGATCAAAGCTGCTCTGTTTACCCATAAATACTGCTGATCAGAGTGGGCGGAGTCTGGCAGTCAGAGCCAGGAACTCAGGAACCCAGGAACTGAGCTGTGGAACCTCAAACCTCACCACACTCCTCTACTCTGCTACTGTTTGGACACAACGCTAACGCTAATGCTGCAGAATTAGCACACTGGAGCTGGAAGTTGTCCCCAGACTCAGATAGCTGAGTGAGGGGGGAGGAGAAAGAGAGGGGCGAGGGGGAGTTAATAACTGAAACTGTTTGAAGGTTCCACCAGACCTTGGGTCCAAATACGGCAGGGTTGGACTCACTGTTCCATAAAGATGAACAAGAGGAGTGAGTCTGAGTGTGAGATTGGCTTTGACTCCCACCACAGCCCTAAAGAATTTAGCGTTATGAATGGCAACAGAAAGACCTTCAGTGACCACTAGGGGTTGATCCACTGAGATGAGCCGCTCGTCCTCCTGGTCCACAGTTTCAGTTGATAATTAGTGTTAGTTTCATCTGTAAAAACGCAAGATTTTTTTCCACTCAACTTTAAACTGTTTTTTAAAAAAAGCTGAGTTTCAATTGTTGCGTCTCAGACAGTGTACCAGCAGGGGGCGTTCACGGTGCCATTTGTGCGTATGATGGGGAAAGTGAACTTTCCTGTTGCGTTTGAAATGACAAGGAGACTGTGGTTCCTGTGGAGTAGAAACGGCTCCAATCTGAGCTGCTGATATCTGATCTGGGCAAAAAAGGGGGCGGGGCCACATGGGGTGTATTAAAAGAAGCACAGAGAGGGAGAGGGAGGGAGAGAGGGAGAGAGAGCACAGGGTGAGGATGGAGGAGAATGGATTTGCTGAGAACGACACAGAGAGAAGAGGAGTCAGTGAACTGCCCCGACCCCAGAACGTCCAGAAGATCAAACACACACAGGTGAGAGGGGGGAGGAACCAAGGGAGGAACCTTGGGAGGAACCTTGGGTGATCCAGAGGAGACTGCACTTAGGAGTAGAGCTAAGGGTGAAAGTCAGAGGAGACAATGGGGGAGAGGTTGAAGAGAGGAACAGGTTAGGAACAAGGGAGAGTGAGAGTGAGAGGAGGGAAGAGAGGGTAAAGAGGTGAGAAACCTAAGATGTTGGTGGAAAACGGGTGAGAAAAGGCTAAGGAGGTGAGGAAGTAAATGACGATATGGTAAAGAAGTGAGGAGACGAGGAAGGGAGGTTGGGAGTTCATGAGGTGAGGTAGGAAAAGGAGGTAAGAAATAAGGGTGAGGAGAGGGTAAGGAACTAATAAAGGTGTTAGGAGGTGAGGAAGAAAGTAAGGAGTGAAGAGGTCAGGACAGGAGGAGAAACAGGCTGATGGCTGTGAGGAAAGTAAGGAGTGAAGAGGTCAGGACAGGCTGATGGCTGTGAAGGTGGAGAGATGAGGGGGTGAGAGGGGAGGTAGGGGGTCAACGTCAATGAGAGATACTTCATAGTCTTCATACAGGACATGCAGTACATGCAGAAATCAAACTGTAACAGATCTTTCTCCTATAATTTTCATATATTTTTACAAAATCAAATGAAATTTTTTTTTTTTCTGTTTTTCCAGATTAAAGTCTGATTTAAATCCTGTTTTCTCTCCCAGATTTTCATCAACAACGAGTGGCTGACTTCCTGTTCAGGCAGGAAGTTTCCGACACTTAATCCAGCGACAGGAGACAAGATCTGTGATGTGGAAGAAGCTGACGAGGTGAGAACTTCTGCTGCAGTGGAGCCAAAAGTTCTGGAACCATTTTCGTTGAACTAAATAGTACTGTTCCTAAGTTAGCTTCATTAGCAGTAGCTTTTCTCACAATGTTCCAGAAAGACTGACTCTGGTCCACTTTCTAACACAAAATCCCTGGTACTAACTCCTGTACCCGAAACGCAGCCCGACGCCCCCTGGTGTAGGACTAGTTAGTTCTCAGGACTAAGATCACTGAGTTAATCCCTGGTCGTTCTGTATGTTCTCTGGCCCCAGCATCGGTTCCTCGTTCCTCGTAAACAGTTATTTAATGATGAACTTGACCTCGGTGTTGAAGGTTGGGAGTGTAAAAGATAGCGTCGCTATATATTCTAATGCTAACTGTGTTGGTTGACAGTACCAGTCAGTACCTTTCTTCTTCTTCTTCTTCTTCACAGGAGGACGTGGACAAGGCCGTTACCGCAGCCCGGAGAGCCGTTCAGCGAGGGTCACCATGGAGGAAGATGGACGCGTCCAGCCGTGGCGGGTTACTCCACAGACTGGCTGACCTGATGGAGAGAGACCGCACCCTGCTGGCGGTGAGCTCAATCACAGTTTTTAAATGAGTTTTTGATAAAACTGCACCAGTGATAAATCTGTCAAGACCAGGTCCTGGTGGCCAAATTTAGACCTGCTCCTCTGGTCTTCCCCTCAGACCCTGGAGACCCTGGACACAGGAAAACCCTTCCTGCAGTCCTTCTTCATCGACCTGGACGGCTGCATCAAAACACTTCGGTACTACGCCGGCTGGACTGACAAGATCCATGGCCAGAGTCTGCCTGTGGGTGAGTGGACCAGCGGTCAGGTGGTTCTGGTCAGGAACGAGTCCACGACCATCTTAAAATAAAAGATCAGTTCAGAGGACGCTCTAATCCTTTGATGTTCTGGTACAGTTCTACAGTAAACGCTAAGTCAAAAACTTTTAGATTTTTGGACTTTTTCAACCATCGGTTTCATTTGATATTGTAAAAATATATGACAGTTATATATGAAAGTTCTGTGTAATTACTGCATGTACTGCATGTACTGCATGTACTCCATAATGACTATGAAGTATCTCTTCTACACAAACCTTGATAACTCTACCTCACCCTCTCACCTCCTATCTTTGTGGAACCATTAACACAAACACTCCGAGTCCAAGTGTTTGTGTTAATGGTTTCCCACAGTCAGTTAGTCATTAAGGATTATGGGTAATTAAGTATGATTGACGACAATTAGTGACTCAGAGACGTGAACACAGTCGACACCGAGCAGAGAACCGATCATCACTGAAAGGCCAGTTAACCACAAGTCCTAGTCCTGAATCGGGACTGTCTGGAGACCCCGCACCCCCTCCCCCAGACCAGGAGCTGTCGGAGGTTTTCCTCCTGATTAGATCCTAATGAAGAGCAGAGAGAGAGAGGACAAAGAAGAGGAAGAGACGCTGATCAGTGAAGTGCAACCGTCTGAGAGGATTAGCGCTCCCTGTTGGCTAAAGAGAAAGACTAAACTGCTAATCTGCACATTTACCTTTAACTGCAGTTTTCTAAAAAGTTTTCTAAGAGGCAGCCCCCCCAAATATGAGGGTTTGTTTCAGAAGAAGAAGTTGAGAAAAATGTAAGCAAATAAATCTGTTCACAACTGGCCCAAACATCAGAGTAAATAGAAACCATGCTAGGGCCCGGTACCAAATGACCCATGGACCGGTACCAGTCCAGGGACCAAGGGTTGGGTATGTAAAGTTAGTAGAAAATGGTCAGTTTACCATGGATTTAAGCTAAATGTTTATCAGTAAAGTTAGCCCGTCTGTGTCTGTGTTCACTGGTCAACTGTCAGTGTCTGTTGATGAAAATGTACTGATGTGTGTGTCAGTACTGATGTTCTGTCTCTGTTGTCGTTCTTGTTTCACAGACGACACCTTCATGTGTTTGACTAGACATGAACCTGTTGGGGTGTGTGGAGCCATCATCCCTGTGAGTAGACACGGAACCGATTCACGGTTGAATGTTCCACAGAATTAAAGAAAAATCCCTTCGTTGTTACAGGCTGTCGAAGGAAGGTTTTAAAGATATAACTGTGTTCATTATTTGAAATATTTTATTAAAACCTTTGTGACTGGAGCACCTTTAGATGTATACTTTTTATGCTAAAAAATAATTCAGCCACTAGGTGGCAGTAAGGGCTGCCGACAGTCCTTGACGTGATTTATGTGTTCAAACAAATGTATTTGTTTGACTAGGCTAAGCTAACATTAAACTAATATAAAACTATATTTCTTTTATCAACACACTAATCAGTGATGAAGCAGTGGAACATGTTCCTGAAACAGTACCACCGCTAACAGTTCTTTATCATCTTGGTCTTTTTGTGCTTCTGTCATGGCTCTCAGCTCTGTCTCTGTCCTCACTTTGACATTTACTGGGGAACAACACTAACGCAGCACATGTGCACGTGGACGTGCACGTGCACATGAAAACCTGTGCAGCAGAAACTTTATCTTAATCTTTGGTGGGTTCTAATCCCCGCAGGGCAGTTTTCACAGGAACAACCGTCTGGTGTCTCTTACACACACACACACACACACACAAACATACCTGCATCCATATTAATAAGTTCGTCAGAGTCAGGGCGTGGCTGCGGTGCTACGTGTCATCTTTCCTGACTGGAGGTCGAACTCAGACCAAAGGAGATTTACTCTGATGATGTTTTGGCAACAAACAGGCAACGTCTGCTGTCTGAACAACACTGACACACACACACACGCACACACACACACACACACACACACACACACACAGTGAAGGTATCACTCTCTAATAAAATGCATGAAACTAAGACTCAGCACTGGATTCATCTCTGCTTCAGAAACGACTGCCTCCAGTTTTACAGATTATTAATTACTAACTTTAACTTTTCTTTATTTTAACCAGACAAGTCCAAGGTGGAAAATAATTGTCAAAATTGTTATTTTGACTTGAAAAACATTGATTTTTAAAATATTTTTTTTGTTCCTTTTCTCTCTGTTCCCTCAGTGGAACTTTCCTCTGCTGATGTTTACCTGGAAAATTGCTCCTGCGCTGAGTTGCGGAAACACGGTGGTGATCAAACCTGCGGAGCAAACGCCACTCAGCGCCCTCCACGCCGGCTCTTTGATCAAAGAGGTCAGAGGTTAAAGGTTTTATCTGTTACACAAAAAGCTCATTGAAGATAACTGATGGTTGAGAGGTTAAAGGTTTTATCTGTTACACACTCAAAAAAGCTTATTGAAGATAACTGATGGTTGGCTAATTTAGTGTTAGCCACAGATTAGCTACATCTGCTCCATAATTAACTAAAGGTTAGCTAAGAATAATTATGAAGTATAATTAAGTAATTAAGTAAGCAAAGATCCAGAAGGCATTTCACAATTATTATCTAAAGAAAATCTATGCAGTCTCTGTTTCTTGTTTCATGTCTCATTAATCCATCATTCACCGCTATCTCTGTCACATGACCAGGCAGGATTCCCTCCTGGTGTGGTCAACATCCTTCCAGGGTTCGGGCCTAAAGCAGGAGCAGCCATCGCCAGACACATGGACGTGGACAAAGTGGCCTTCACTGGTTCAACCGAGGTTGGTCTTTTCATCCTGGTCCAGACAGAAGACGGTTTTTATGTTTCAGGCTGAACAGTTTCTTTAGGCCGGGGTAACGATGAGGTGGTCAAAAAAATTAAAAAAATAATTTTCTAAAGCTGAACTCCATATTCAACTGTTGACCAGAGATCATTGATCTCTGGTCAGTCACTGATGTGTGACAAAAAGAAAAATCGTTTTTTAAATTGTGCAGGTCGGACAGCTGATCAAAGAAGCAGCAGCTAAAAGTAACCTGAAGAGAGTGACCCTGGAGCTGGGCGGAAAAAACCCCTGCATCGTGTTTGACGACTGTGACCGTGAGTCACTGACACATTTATAATAATGTGAATAATATTATTTAACTGTCAGTTGACCTATCTTCAGGAAACATGTGATCTCTACTGTGGCATCATGATAATATTAGCTAAAAACTGTTTGGAGGTCGGGGGGGTCGGGAGGGGGACTGTGTTACACAGACATGTGTTAAAGTTGTAACGTTCTGTGGTGTGTTGGTCTGGGTGCAGTACAGACAGCAGTGGAGGAGATCCAGAAAGGATCGTTCTACAACCAGGGTCAGTGCTGCACCGCTGCTTCCAGAGTCTTCGTCCAAGAAAGTATTTATGAAGAATTTGTGCAACGCAGCAAAGAAAACGCAAAGAAGATCGTGGTCGGAGACCCTTTAGACCCCCGGACGTCACATGGTCCACAGGTGAGACCCCGGGACAACCTCTGTCCTCTGGACTACAGTCGGCATTCAACCACCAACCACCTGCTGTGTCTGTCTACAGATTGATCAACAGCAGTTTGATAAGATCATGGAGCTGATAGAGAGTGGGAAGAAGGAGGGGGCGACACTGGAGTGTGGGGGGGCGGCCGTGGAGGAGAAGAACCTCTGTATCCAACCCACCATCTTCTCTGGAGTCAAAGACCAGATGCGGATCGCCAAAGAAGAGGTATACTACCTTATTAGACTGAACACCATCCATGGGTTTAGTCAAAGCTGACACCCTGTGGAGATGTTGTGTAATTGCACTGCAGCCAGTGCGGCCAATTCATCAACTGAAAGTCGAGGTTTGTTCCGGGTATTGGTTTTAAAATGATCAATTAAAGAAGTAGCAGAAAGTCTTTACTGGTGCTGCCCCCTGCTGCAGAAATGAGAACCTGTGGTGACAAATTCTCTCTTCATGTTCTGCCCCAGATCTTTGGTCCGGTGCAATGTATATTTAGCTTTAAAAGCCAGCAGGAGGCGATAGAGAGAGCCAACAGCTCCCAGTATGGCCTGGTGTCGGCGGTCTTCACCAGCAGCATGAACCGAGCACTGTCTGTGTCCTCAGCCCTGGACACTGGAACTGTTTGGTGAGTCCTGCTCCACTCTCTCTGTGAAGTACTTCACACTGTTACACAGACACGGCTTCATGGGTGAAGGTCCTGGCTGACCTTTGACCCACTGCTATAGGTAGGCCTGCAACCATAACAAGCTTTGATGGATGATGTATTGTCCAGAAAATTATTTTGTGTGTTTCTTTTTTCTTTCTCCAGGATAAACTGCTACAACGCACTTCACGCCCAGACGCCATTTGGAGGCTTTAAGATGTCGGGCAACGGACGAGAACTGTAAGGAAAATCACTTTGTTAGAGACACTGCCAAGGGATAACCTAAAAGAAAAAGAAAACCTTTGAAATCTCGGTTTTACTGAGACTAGGATCAAACAGTGAGGCCTTGAGATACGAGCTTCCCAAAATACGAATTTCCAACTTACCAGTCTTCAGCTTTTGCAAGATTTAGTGTTCAACAGAGCTTCATTTTTCCACCTGACACTCACAATATATTTGTTAATATCTATATTTTTGTTGTTTAGATGGGGTTAATTAAATTAATTAATAGTATATTTTTGGAACAAATTAATTGGTTTTTAGTTATTTTTAATGGGGAAAATTCGATCGACATATGAGTGCTGTTGTGGAACAGATTAGATTGGTGTCTTGAAGCCCTACTGTATTTGATTCAGAGTTAGTAGAATGAACAACTTCTGAAAATGTTGAATATTCAAGCTAACGTTGATTAGACGCCAAACCCGTTACCCATGTTTTCCTACTGTGTTTTGTGTTTTCAGGGGAGAGTACGCACTGGCTGAGTACACAGAAGTAAAAGCAGTGACCATCAAACTGAGTGAAACTGTCTGAGAAGACCTAGAGCTGTGCACTTCCCTCACAGGCCACCAGGCTGCTCTGCACAATGATCAGACTCCATCGTCCATCACTGCATCAGGAGAATACAAAAAAAAAAAAAAAATTAACATAATGGAAAGATTTTACTGAGAGAGTTTACAAAAAATATTTGAAAATATCCAGCAGTAAGTTAAGTATTTTTGTTTTGGGGACAGTATTTGAAAATCAATTTCACCACAAGGGACAGCGGTAGGCAGCACACACTGAGCTACATTTTCTTAAAACTCCAAAAGACATTTTTTCCTAATGCTATGTTAGCTTGTACTGCTAATTTACCAGGTTCTGCACCAGTGTCACCTAAAAAAATTGTCTTCCTCCCCAAGAAAGTCATATTTACCTTTTCAGTAGTCACATATATAACAAGTGTCGTTTCGGAATATGGTCAAAAATAATCTGTGTATTTTTCTTGTAGTGTTTGTTAATAATCACACATGGAATTTCTGTCTCACTTTGTATTTGTATTTCAATAGAAATGTTTTAAAATAAAAAATCATTTTTGTCCCAGTTTTATAAGCAGTTTTTCATCATGTTTTGTGACAGGGTGAAGTCTAATATTTCATATTATTATAACATTTTGACAATACTAAATTAATTAAATAACAGGTGTGTTTTGATTTATTTTGAAATTGCAGTTTACTCAGACGCCTAGTCAGTGATCTAATTCGTTCCATTTCAGCACCCTGTCAATCAAACAGATGGCGTCATATCACCTGCGCGCCATATGGTGTGCACCATTGTGCTAATTGTGGTCAGACGCAATACGCCACCTTAAATCAGACTACGTTCATTGGGATTAAATAACTAATTTCCGTGTCATTTTTAAATACATCTGGGATTAAAGTTTTTTTTAACATTTAAACGCAACTGTCTTCTTTTCAGACTTCTTTTTCAAACCGAATCTACATCAAGTGGAAATCACCAAAAATGCCAGCATTGACAGAAAGTTCCTCCTAAGAAAAGTCCTGCCCTTTCCTACCTCTGATTGGAAAAGCTCTATTTCCTTTTTCTGTCAGCCAATCATCACACACATTGCCGGATTTTTTAGCAAATCAGAAGGCGAAGGCGTGCTGCGTTTGTTGTACAGACACTCGGGTAAAATTGAGTTTGGTCTGAACTGATTTTGCAGAAGTGTTGAGACGAATTCTAAACATACGTTGAACCTGGAGGATTTGATTGGACAAAGTCTGAGGTTGTTCGTGTTTCTACTCTTTAGAGCTGGTGATGTTTTAAACGACAAGTAAAACTAGGTGCATTTCGTATTGAATTTATGTTTAAAATATCGGTTCCTTCTCGGCCAGTGTGTGTATGTGTATGTTTGTATGTTGGAAAGTTTGCGCGGTGGAATCAGGAAGTGCTGCCGTAAACCGACACTGTGCGTTGAAGTGTGTCCCTGTTGTACAGTGAGGAGTTGACAGAGTTGACATAGTTGACAGGAACATCGTCTATCGTCGTCTGGGACATGAGGTGAGTTGACGAGTAACTGACATTCAACTGTGCACGTTTCCATGAGTCTCTGTCTGTGTCTCCGTCTGTGGTTGTTTTTCCCCTCAGTGTGTTAAACAGGTTTTTGTTTCTTAGCAGGGCTGTGTTTGATCATAACACTCCCAACATTGTGCTGCTTAAAAAAATAATCTTGCTCTAAAGAAAATGGAAAAATGTGTGACGTGTTGCACATTTGCCAAATTCTTTTTTTTTTCTTTGTTCTAGAACTTTGACAGGGATGTCTTTTTATATTTTTAAAATCTGGATTTTTACAGGTGAAGCTAGATTAATACTGTTCTCCTGTTTTTGTTATAGACTGGAGTTATTTGCCAAATTCTGATCCAGATCCAGATCCAGATCCAGGTCCAGGTCCAGGTCCAGGTCCTCACTGACTCCAGGAGGAATGTCTTACTGGTCTGTTGGCGTCCCTGCAGCATCTGCAGACGACATGGATCCTCAAAGCAGTGAGTGATCGTCATCCTCCGTTTAGTTACTGATGATGTGGCAGTGAGCCCCAGTCTGATTGGACCATAAAATAAAACAGAAAAGTCAGTGTTAGACTGGACTTCACTGACCTGTCAGTCAGATTTTACTGCACTCTCTCTCTTTCTCTCTGTGTTTCTTCCTCTCTCTCTATCTATCACGCACACACACTTCCCTAACTGTATCCACTGCGATCCAGCCTTATATCTGAAGACCACAAGACGCCATTTAGTGGCATCAACAGAAAGTACAGTCCATGTGTTGTAATGTATCAAACAGAGGTGATCGACATCACCCTTTACCAGACCTGTACCACTGTTTGGTGGGCCGTATCTGGCCCACGGGCTGTAGTTTGTCTAGTTTAGGATAGTAGTAGTGATCTGAGTTCAACTGTGATGGACTTATAGTCCACTGGAATAATGGACCCAGTCCAGTGGAGAAGACAACTGTCCAGTGAACACCGTCCAGTGGAAGACAACTGTCCAGTGAACACCAGAAGACAACTGTCCAGTTAACCCAGTCCAGTGAAGAAGACAACTGTCCAGTTAACCCAGTCCAGTGAAGAAGACAACTGTCCAGTTAACCCAGTCCAGTGAAGAAGACAACTGCGAGCGTTAACTGTTAATCGGTTCAAGTCTTTCACGCAGCAAGAACAAGTAAATGTAATGTTGTATAACTGAAAGTATGAGACTGTCAGTCACTACACCTGGTAATTGCAGTGGATCAGTGGTCTAGATTTTACTCTTCACTGCAGTGTTCAAATGAGCGTGGAGTGCAGAAGTAACAGTAACTGATAAGAAGTGTCACCAAATTTACAAATAAAGAAGAAGAAAAAACAGAAGAGGAAATGAAAGTTTGCGGAGTGAATGTGTAACAGTTATCACAGAAGAAAACACATTTATTAGTCTCATAAACCTAAAGTGTGTGTGTGTGTGGGGGAGGGGTTATGAAACTTATTTATCCCTGTATTAGAGAAGACACACTTTAAAAAACCTGACTAACATCTTACAGTTTGGTTGGTTCTTGGCTTAAAAACTGTGATTAGATTTGTGTACATTTAAAGTACACAGAAAAACACAACAACCAGATTCCGTAGGAAAACTAAACCTGACAACAAACAAAGAAGACTAGTAAAAAAACTGGTAAACCAGTTATCTCTGTTAAGGTGGAGACCTAGTTTAAAATCATATTTTTGGAATTCAAAATATCTGTAATATACATCTAAAAACTCAAATCCACACGTACACAGACTGTAAAGAACGTACCATGTACCATGTGAGCAGGACACAGGTCGACACATGGTTCATTCCCTACTGGCCGACCTTTAATGTATCATTTATTTTTGGGGACATTTCTGGTTGGAAATGTTGACCAAGGATAACTGGACCCTGTAGGTGTCGCTCCTGCAGCTAACTGTCTGTTTACTCACAATCAAGAAGTGTGAACCAGTTTTTTTAAAGTAAGCTATAAATACCTAAAGAAAAAAATAACTCCACCTGTAAAGTGAACAAATGTGTGGTTTCTGCATCAAAGTTGATTTTTTTTTAACCCTGCCAGATGTGTCCAGTTACAGCTGCTGGTTTCACTGGAAACCTGAACCCAGCTGAGCCTCAGCAGAGTCTGCTGCTGCTGCTGCTGCTGCTGCTCAGTGGATCAGTGTAAAAAATGCAGATGTAGACCAGCTTGTTGAAATGTTCAGATTTGGTTGACCGTTTTGTACCGACACACGTTTTCTCTTCACTATCACCGTTTTGTATTTTTTTCTTTGCGATCGTCAGTGCGTGTCGTCTGATTGGACAGAACCTCAGCTCAGGCAGAGACAGAGAGGAATTCAGAGAGAGAGAATGCAGAGAGAGCTGCAGCTTTCAGGCAGAGGAGCATCATTCCCCCCCCCCCCCCCCCCCTGTTCTTCCTTCTCTTCTCCTGTTTCATCATCCCTCTGTCCCCTCCTCCCTCTCTCCTCTGCTCCACTCAGGCTGAGGAGGGAAAACAGTCAGGGAGAGAGTGAGTAAGGATGCTAGGTAGAGGAGTAGGCAGCGGTGTGGAGACAGGAGCAGAGGGACGTCTCTGTGTGGGGGTGAAACCAGGAGAAACCGGACCATTGGCTGCTGGGCTATGAGCAGGTCAGTACAGGACCATCTGAGACCAGGACTGAGCTGAGACCTCTACAGAAGTCTGGACTCCTGGCTTTGAGGGGAGGGGGGGGAGGGGGGGGGACCAAAGAAGGGGAACAAAGATGTAGTTATCCACTAGGGGGCACCTTACCTGCTACAAAGGGCAATTCATGAAGTGGGTGAACATATTACTACTTCCTTTGGTTTAAACCATTAGTAAGTTAGTTAGTTAGGTTCTGATCTGTCTGGTTGGTGGCTGCATGAACATCAGTGCGTTGATGTCTATGTTTATTAAAAAGAAACAGTGAAATAATCCACCATTAAATGACTTTAAACACAAACAGTGGAGCAAAAATAGCTTTTAGTTAACAAAAACAGACCACTAGACATAATTATTATTTATATTATAACTGAGCTACCTAAAGTAAGTTGTTTTTAAAAAAAAGTTAAAAAAATTCGTTAGCTTGAATTATGGTTACATTCTAATTAAACAGAACTCCTTCATTTTGGTATAAATTGCTAGCATCAGGTTTCCGAGGATCCTGTGTAAAGACTAATCTTGGAAATTCCTAAATTTAACTCGGGGGTGGGAGGGTAGCTTGAACAACTTACACTTACTAACATTCTGGTGCAGTATGTTTCTGGTGCGCAGGCACAGAGGCATTCGTATTCAGTCAGCCACAGTACAGTGTACAAGTTCTGTATTGTGGGCATTTGTGCCATCAAAAAAGCATTGATTCTAGGCACTGGCTTATGGCATTTACTGAATACAAAATATGTTATAGGCTTTTCAGCTCAGTGAGCTGGACCGGGCCCCATAATCCACTGGGCCACACTTCTTTAGCCTCTGTGCTGTAGAGGGGGCGATGGAGAGCCTGAAATGACCCCACTGTTTTGTTTACACCTGGTTTGTTAAGAGCTTAGTAACGATTGAAAAGTTTAGCTGCTAATTATCACACACGTTTTTTTGTAAATAATCGTGGTTAATTGCACGGTTCTGCACACAGTAATATGATTCATTCAGTAGGACTGTTGTGCTCCTTCATTTAACAAGTACTGTTTTATTAATTCACTGAAGTCATCAGCTCTAATGAGGTGGATGTGATAATTATTGTGATAATAACGTGTTAACTTCGTTTTACTGTCACTGTTGTTTTGATGTTTCCTCTGATCTATGAATCAGTTTCCTCTGGATCTATGAATCANGTTTCCTCTGATCTATGAATCAGTTTCCTCTGATCTATGAATCAGTTTCCTCTGATCTGTAAATCTGCCTGGAGAAATCTCCCATCAGACTCAGCTTCTCCAGGTCCAGTGTCAGTTTTCCCTGACAGGTCAAACGAGTCTGTGAGGAGGAAAGTACTGATGATAATGTTAGAAGAGGAAGGGGGTGAGGAGGAGGAGGTGGGGGGACTAATGGTTCCTCTGATCTCATATAACCTCAGCAGCCGGCACTCAGACTCTGGCTGAATTAATTATTCATTTTAGGGAAACAGTGAGTGTTGTGCAGGAAACAGAGTAGAGCTGTGTGTCAGACGTGGTCTTCACTGAGACCACTTCACTGACGGCTCTGTTCCATGGAACTAATCGACAGGAGAAAGTTGATGTCGAGCTTGACCACATCTGTGCCCATCTGGATTTCTGCCTCACCACCACTTCCAGTTTGACGGGTCTTTCTACAGATAGAAGCATGGCTGTGCTCTTCCTGTGTCTCCCATGGTGGCAAATCTTTACATGGAGGAAGTGGAGAGCCGAGCTCTACACTCCTACATGGGAACATCACCCAGCCACTGGTGCCGATATGTGGACGACACTTAGGTGGACAGAAACATCAAGTTCACCAAAGATGTGAAAAAAAACAGCCTTGTTTCCCTGGACTGTGTGGTTCACATCACAGAAGACAGACATCTCAACATACAGAGGTGTACAGGAAACCAACCCACACCAACCAGTATCTCAGTTTTGACTCACACCACCCACTGGAGCACAAATCAGGAGTCATCAGAATCCTACAGTCACGGGCAGACAACATTACCACTGCCAACAGATGAGAGAACAGGGACACAGTAGGACAGCCCTCAAGACCTGTGGCTATCCCAGATGGGCTTTTTTAAAAACGAACAAAAAAAGGCTCACAAAGAGGGAGGACAACAGGAAGGGGAATGTCGTCATCATTCCATACATTGCAATAGTTTTGGAAAAACTTAGGAGGATCTTTAACCAGCACCATATCCATGTACACTTCAAACCTAGCCATTTTTGTCAACCTGGAAAACCCATCACTCAACAGAGGAGGCGGACTCAGACACAACCTATCACCCACATACAAATCACTCTTAAGAACAGTACCCAAAAGATTCACCTCAGTTTCACACATCAAAGAGCCATGTGACCGAAACCATTCTGATGAGGATCACAAGGACCCATCAGACTCCTAACAACTGTTGACACTTCCCCAGTTGACCCCAACGGCCCACCCAACAGCGGGAGAGCTTTATTCTTTGTTATACCCAGAATATATATTTGCTGTACTCCCCACCACCAGTTAGAACTTAAGAGGCCTCTTGGATGAGAGGTGAGAAAATTTCACACCCAATTGTCTAAGAACTCTTCAACCCCAAAAGGTAAAAAATGTTTCTTGCTAATAAATAATGTTATGCGTGGAAACAGTACCAGGGAGTTCCTGGTGTTCATTTATGGTTGACTTTTGAAATTCAGTTCTGGGCTCTGCTGTCATTTGTACCAGGAAACTCTGCTGCTGTCAGTGCTGCTGCTGTCAGTGCTGCTGCTGTCACTGCTGCTGCCAACAGTTTTACATGTTCAACCTGCTGTCACATGGTCCTAATTCTTGTCTCTCTAATGTTCCTCTGGGTGTGTCCTCTTTGTTCTTAGGACCAGGGGAGGAAATGGGAGCCAAGGCATCATTGGTGGTGGAGGGTTTGGGTCCCGGTCCTTGTCCCGGCTCTGGCTCCGGCCCTGCCCTCGCTCAGTCAGTGACACTGGAAAACATCCAAGCTGCATATGAAGACGGGGAGGAGCTTCTGGCCTGTGAGCTGATACAGAGGGCCTACTGTGTGGAGTGCAGTGCAGGAACGCCCCCTGTTAGTGGGGTGAGTCACTGCACCCCCAAAAATACACTACACCTGAAGTAAAAGTCAGCTGATGAAAAAATGATTTAAATCCTTTAGCCTTAAGCGAATGCTTGGCGTCGTTTGCTTTACCTTCTTGTGGAAGGTAGACAAAACCAGATGAAACTTGGTTAAAGGATATTTTGAAAAAGTTAAACTCTGAGATCATGGTCAGTTTTCACTGACAGTGTGGCTTCATGTGTCTGGACTTGGGTTGCAGGTTCAGCTCCTGTGTGTTGCCTCTGAGCACGGAGACCTAAAGAGCGTGAGTTACCTTCTGAAGGAAGCTCACATCACGTGTCCTCAGGATCCATCCAACAGCAACCCGGCCGTCCTGGCAGCGTTCCACGGACACACCAGTGTGGTCCGAGAGCTCCTGGACTCGGTCCCTGGTACCGCTGCTGTCAGCACTAGTCCCATTGTCCGTTCATATGTAGTCCTGTGGTTGTTGACCTTCAGTGTCTGTCTTCGTCTTAGGTCCTTGTCTGAGGAAGGAACTGTTGAACTGGATGTTGTCCACTTCCTGTCAGCGGGGTCACCTGGACGTGGTGCAGCTGCTGGTCCAACACTACGACGCTGATGTCACAGACTGTGCTGTCCACAGTGATGACTTTGCTGTGGTCAGTAGTCTGCCGCTGTACGCTGCTGCACAGGCAGGTCAGGACTTGCCGCACATACTTCAGACGTACTTCACATGTACTTCTCACATACAAGTACACACAATGACTGGGAGAAGTGGGATTCTGTCCTAACACAGTGTTTGTCTCTTTAACTGCAGTCACATGACCAAACATGAGGTTAAACATCGTCTTCATCATGTGTCTGTGAAGATCGTGTTCTTTAACATGTTCTTTCAGCTGCTCTTTAGTGCTAGCTCAAAGCTATGTTCTTGGATATCCTCGATTTACTGCATGTCAACTTGACGAGTACTTTAGTTTTTTTTACACGAAAGTAAAGTTTTCTTTTAATGTGTTTTCTTCTTACAGTAAACTTTTCTTTAATCTTTTAATTAGCTGCCTGTGATCTATAAAGATCCAAGGTCGCAGTGTTTTAATGGCGGTGTATTGATTTAAATACAACTTCCTGCAGTAATCTGTATTGATCTGGCAATTCACAGAGAAACCTACAGTGTGATGTGTTCAGGTTCTGTACATTCACCCAGGGAGGCCGGGTACTTTAACAAGTCTGGAGTTAAACCCACAACCCTCTGGTTGTTGTTTTATGTTTTTTTATTTATCCTTTATTCAGTTGGGAAAATCCGTGAAGAATCCTTTTTTATAGAGACGTTGCCATGGTAACAGTTCATCATAACACAGACAAAGACAGGTGTAACCGTACCTTCTGACCACAGACAGTGTTGTCCGTCTGTGCTGCAGGTAACGAGGAGATCGCCCTCTACCTGCTGCAGAGTGGAGCAGGCTTCTCCTCCTACACTCTGATGGACCACCCTGACTTCAGCCAACGCCTCCTCAGGCTGAGGGTGGAGGAGACGCCTGACAGTACAGTAAAGGAGGTGAGCGAGGGTCCTGTGACCACACACACACACCACACACACAACACTCATGTGCTCCTGTGGTTGGTGTCTGTCTGTGGACAGGCTGTGAGTGTGTGTTGGAGCGGTCTGCAGCTGCCCTGGTTGGAACTGGACTGGTTCATGGACATCCTGTCCCGGACCACCCACCTGGACCTGTCCTCTAACAGCCTGACGTCCCTGCCCTCTGTGGTCCCCTGGGGTCTGATCAACCTCCGGACTCTGGATCTGTCCAACAACCTTCTGAAGGAACTTCCTGCTGCTCCCAGCTCCCAGGAGGTCATCTGCTCCAGGTACACCAGCCATGAGGGGGGGGGCAGACAATAGGGTCAGACACATCCGTGGCTCAGAAACTTGGGGGTGCAGCACATTTAATGAGTTTAATTTAAATATTTTTGTTATTTGTGTTTATCTGTAGTTGTTTAATTCCAGTTTTCAGGAAGTGAAGGAAGTCTTTTCTCTGTGTTTCAGTTTGAAGCAGATCCATCTGTCTCAGAACCTTCTGACCACACTACCAGCTGGACTTGTCCACCTGACCCAGGTGCAGAGAATCTGTGCAGCCAGGAACCAGATCTCAGTCCTGTTGGACCTCCCCGACGGTACCAGGCTGTTGTTTCCTCATCTCAAATATAGTCAAAAATAACTAAGACGACTCTCTGCCTCCACGTCTGAACATCGATGTTCCTGGTTTACAGGTACCAACTGGATCGGCCTCCGTCATCTGCAGGAGCTGGACCTCTCTGACAATTGTCTGAGCGCCCTCCCTGAGAGCTTCATGCACCGGCTGAAATCCCTGAGTTCCCTCAACGTTAGCAAGAACAAACTGAGCAGCTTCCCTGACCCCTGGGCCTGTCCACTGGTCAGACACTTCCTGGTTTCACCTGCTCACTCAACAGGCTGTTTTATTTTATTCTTTCTGGGTTTACATATAGCTAAAGGATGGCTAATGTAAACTTTATTTTAACTTAATTATAAGTACAGTAATTTATGTTTTGACCAAAATGAACTCCATTGTTTTAAACACAACACTGTCAGTGTGACACGTAATGAGAAAATGCTACAAAATGCTACATTTTGTTTTGCCTTTAAGTATTTGCAAACTTCCACATAATTTTGCTTAAATATTTTGTCTTATATTATCTGTTCTGTCAATGTAACTTTATTACAGTGGACCACCGTGACACCAGTCTAATCCGTTCCACAACAGCACTCATATCTAATCATAAATAATTAAAAACCAATTAATTCGTTCCAGCCAGAAATATATTATTAATGAATTTAATTAACCCCATCTAAATATCAAAAACATAGATATAAACAAATATATTGATAATAAAAATAATAATAATTAAGATTTTATAATATTGTTATAAAAATGACAGAGAGGGACAGTGAGAACGACAGCGCCACACAGTGTCGAGTGGAAAAATGGAGCTGGGTTGAGCACTCGTAACGCGATGTTTCCTCATATCACGAGGAAAATCTTGCATTTGTTGCAGACTCGTAACTTGGAAGACTCGTATTTCGGGGAGCTCATATCTCGAGGCCCCCCTGTTTATGTCTTAGCCAATGAAATATATTTGACAGGATTGAGCCTGGATTGAGGCCTGAGTTTTTGTCTCTTGTGCTGTAGAAACAGTGTAGGGCCTCGTCCAATAGGATCGAGCATCTGCCCAACAGCATCTCCATCTTCTGGAGGACCAAACTGCAGGAGCTGGACTTCTCTGACAACCTGCTGACGGAGCTACCCTCACACATCTTTGAGCTGGAGGTAAAGTATTAGCAGTGGGGGGGGGGACAATTACAGGGGCAGTAACACAGCTGTAGAGAGTATTTAGGATTGTACTACAGTTTTACATCCCCATATAAGACAGGAAATCATTATTGTCCTTTAAAATAATTGGTCCCCAAGTTCTGGCCTAGGGACCAGTACTGGACCATGGATCATTTAGTAGGTTTTTATCTTTTAGCCTCCTCTGTTTCCCCTCAGGCTCTCGTTTCTTTAAAACTCTGTGGCAATGAAATTCAGGCTCTACCAGCAGCCAACAGGTGGAGGTGCTCACAGCTCAGGACCTTGGATCTGTCCAGAAACCAGTTGGGAAAGTAAGCACGTGCACACACACACTCCCTGAACTCTGAACTCACTGGGCAGTAAACTAAGGGAGCCGTTGAACTCGAATCTTATCTTGATTTTTGTCTTTCAGGACGGAGGAAGTGCCCAAATCTCGGAGGTTGGTCTTCCTGACGACATGGAACAGAAGAGATCCAGAACCAGGTTGAGTACCTCACATGAAACACAAAATCACAGCAGTCTGACCCCTGGTCCTGTCTGACCCCTGGTCCTGTCTGACCCGTGGTCCTGTCTGACCCGTGATCCTGTCTGACCCCTGGTCCTGTCTGACCCCTGGTCCTGTCTTCCAGTGTCTCCCATTGAATTTCCCAGCATCCTGCGGGATTCCCTGGAAGTTCTCTATCTGAATGACAACCAGCTGGACTGTGTTCCTCTGTCAGTGTGTGGTCTGCACAGCCTCACTGAGCTCTACCTCTCCAAGTGAGTCCACAGGCACGTGCCCCCTGCTGGGCAGCTGCTGTCCCTCTGTTACACTCTCACTGCCCTGAACTGTGTGTGGCTTCTTATACTTCATTCTCTCTGTGAGGTAAATACTGCATAATGCACAGTGTAGTAGTCTGACATACCACCAGGGGGCACTCTTGTCTTTTATTATTGTTTTGTGGAAGCTTTTCCCAAACGTCCCCACTCCTGCATCTGTCTTGTCATCTGTCTCTGTCCATCAGTACTGGGTTGTTAGAGCCTGTCTGTCTCTGCAGCACTAACCTGAGGTCAGTGACCCACACAGGTGACGTGGATCACCATGTCACACATTAACACTGAACAGAACCTTCTCTGGACTCAGACCAGATGAGTAGAACATGATCATGATTCTGTGAATCCACTTTCTGGAAAGTTCTGCTGCAGCTGTTTGCAGCTGTTTGAAAAAACAGACTCTCTCACAGTGACTAAATCCTTCAGGAAGTCATGGATCCACTCTGGTCCACCTCACTGCCAACAAATCACTTTGGCACCAGACAAATGAGTCCATTTGTCTGGTTCTCAGTAAACGGGTGGTTCAGGACCCCAGTGAGGTCCCCTGGTCTGTGTGTGGAACAGTACTGGGATTGTCACCAACACACCGACACACAAAATACACTGGAGGTTAACAGGGGTTTATCTAGTGGTAGTCGAGTTTTATTGTAAAAATTCGTACTTTTGGTTTTGTCCCGGGGAAAACTCTTTTCTTGACCCATGTCGTCTCTCCTGGTCCGGTCCAGTAATCCAGGAATCCGGGAGCTCCCAGTTGAACTGGGACGTCTGTCCAACCTGTGGCAGCTGGACACTGAGGACCTGAACATCACCAACGTTCCTCAGGAAGTCAGGAAAGAAGGTAGAGAGCAGCTTTTAGGAGACGCTTCAATGAAAAGACGTTTTGTTTTAATGATTTTTAAGTGTGTTTGTAGATGGTGCTGACCTTGCTGCTAGCGGCCTCTACTGCCCCCTGCTGGTGACATGAAGACATGACATTTTGTGAACACCTCTCTGCCATGGTCCGCAGGTCCCGCCTCCATCCTAGCCTTTCTACGTGCTCAGCTCCGTAAAGCCGAACCCTGTAAGCAGCTGAAGATGGTTGTGATTGGTCCACCTCGACAGGGAAAAACCGCCCTGCTGGAGGCGCTGCAGAGTGGCAGAGTTGCAGCCTTCACCCCAGCTGAACGCAGCATCTCCACCTCCACCTGGGAGCTGGAGAAACCTAACGCTGGGAAAAACAACGTGAGGAAACACACCAGTCGGTGTAAACACTGTCACTACATCAGAATGAGGAGAAAAATACACTAAACACATTTTTTGTGTGTGTGGTTCTCTCTGGCATTTGTTTACAGAAAGTACTGTAATGCTTAGAAATGCAGAACTTTTAAAATGATCTTCAGTTCATTTCAATGGTTTTATACATGATTATTAAAATGACTAGAGGTGGAGCTGAGGGCGGAGGTCATGGTTTTAGCAGCAGAACACTGACGCTGGTCTGTGCTCGTACACACAGAAAGACGTGGTGTCCTTCAACGTGTGGGACGTGGGGGGGCAGGCCAGCATGTCCACTGTCAACCAGTGCTTCTTCACTGACAAGGCCCTGTATGTGGTGGTGTGGAACCTGGCCATGGGGGAGGAGGCTGTGGCCTGTCTGCAGACCTGGCTGCTCAACATCGAGGTACAGCGACACAGTTCTGCTTATACACCTGGATCCTTGAGGGGGCGCTGGATCTGCAGTGATGATCATTATTGTTTTGGTTTTTTCCCTGTAGGCTCGTGCTCCGAACTCGGCTGTGGTTGTCGTGGGAACACACTTGGATTTGATTGACACAAAATTTCGCACAGAGAGACTGGCGACGCTGAGAGCTTACGTTCTGGCTCTGTGTCGGTCTCCGTCTGGAGCCCGAGCCACGGGTTTCCCTGATATCACCTGGAAGCACCTGCAGTCAGTGCATATTTGAATTATGGTCCACTGACGGGGGGGGATCCTTGTGCTTGGATACATTGTACTAAGCACAATGTATCTGTGCTTAGTACGCACAGATACATTGCTTACAAAATATATCTGTGAATATGAGAAAAGTACAGAAGCAAACAACAAGTAGCTGAATAGACTTTATCCAGAAATACTGAATATTCACATACAGTACAATACAAAACTAATTGGAAGTAATCACAGAAATTACTCAATTTTTTTACTTTCAATTCAGTGTACTGCATTAACTGTACTGTACTGTGTCTTGTTTTCAGTGAAGTGTCCTGTAAAAACCTGGAGGGCATGGAGGCCCTGAAGAAGTTGATCCACCAGGTGGCACTGTCTATGAAAGACAACAGCAGCTCAGGTTATGGCAGTAAACTGCTGGGGAGGCTGGTGAGTCTTTACTGTCACACAGTCTGAGTTTGGAACCAACAACCGTTGTATGAGCCCAGGTCAATCACAGACATCTTTCTTCCTCCTCCTCCTCCTCCAGATTCCCAGAAGTTACCTGACTCTGCAGGAAGCTGTGATGGCAGAGAAACAGAGACGGGACAGTGAGGATGAAGTTCTGTACCTGACTGAGGTCCAGCTAGACCGACTAATCGAACAAAACCCAGGAAGTGACATCAGAGACTATGAGGACCTGCAGATTGGTAATGACCGTCACAGCTAGGAGATAAGAACCAGACCTCGGACTGTTGCTGAACCACTTTCCTGTTGATGAATTCAGTTTTGTCTCTGTTGTCCTGTGTCCACCACATCCAGCCATCAACTTCCTGATCGAGACAGGAACTCTGCTGCACTTTCCCGACACCAGCCACGGCCTGTGCACGCTCTACTTCCTGTGTCCGGTGTGGTTGTCCGAGTGCCTGGAGAGAATCGTCCACCTGAAGTCGTCTCGGTCCATCGCCAGCAACGGACTGATACGAACTGAAGACCTCAGGGTGAGAGTTAGCAGACCGTCGATCTACCCCACACCAGCTGTGTGGCTCAGTTACAGGCTGTGGCCCATAGACTGGGTTGAAGTGAATCTGTTGTGTTTGTGCTGCAGATGTTGTTGGTGGGGACGGGCTTCACTCAGCAGACAGAAGAACAGTATTTCCAGTTCCTGGCCAAGTTTGAGATCGCTCTGCCCGTGGCCAACTACAGGTAACGTGGAGCCTTTTCATTTGGTGATGGATTTTGAACAGTTTTTACAAATAAAGGACCGTTGTATTTGGTCAAAATCCTAAAAAGAAATTGTGACAAAATTGTATTGTGAAAAACAAATTGCGAATCGTATTGTATCACTTTAAGTACATTGTTACATCACTCCTCTCAACCTGGAGCAAGTCTGTCGTCAGCTCCGAAGTACTTTACAGTAAGCCAGGAGAACTCGATGATCTCCTCCAAACGCTGTTGTAATTCAAAAAGTTTTTGTTGGTAGTTTTTATCATTTCGGTAAAACTGATTCATTTAAACTCTTTTAGCTCAAAAAGCCAGGTTAGCCAAAATTATGTCTGTTTCAGGGTTAGCTTTTAGCCATGTAGAGCACCGCAGCCAAAACTAAAGTTAATAGAATAGAATAGTCTTTCTTGTCATTGTACAACAAAATTGAGGGTGCTCCCACAGAGCCACCATGCACCACAACAAGGTAAGCCAAAAAGAAAGAGTACCACGAAAATGTTAACTGTAAACAATGCTATAAAAAATAGTGGGGTAGTGGGTAGTGCAAGAAAAGTAGTATAAATTGTAAATGTATATTAAACAGAGTATATATACATTTTAAGAACAGGTTTGATTTTATTCTAAATAATAATAATAATTAATGACCTACCATAACCAGGTTTGTTGTTAATGCTGTTGTTTGTCCTTTATGGCCTCTCTGTTTGATCTCAGCATTTTACTCTGACTGTAAAACATCTTAATGTGACCTTTTGACCTCTGTAGCTACCTGCTGCCACACCTCCTGCCTCCTAAACCAGCTGTGGACATCTTCGGCTTCCGTCGGCAGGTCACCAACACCCTGCAGCGACTCTTCAAGATGAGCTTCGTTCCCGCAGGATTCTGGGAACGTTTCATTGCCAGGATGCTCATCAGTCTGGAACAGATGGACCTGCAGGTACCAGAACCCAGAACCAGCCATTCACATTCACACCAGGGTCAGACATCTGGTCAGTTTTCAGGGCAAAAGGAACTTTGAATACCTGAACCTTTGTCCTTTTAATTCAAGCTGACAAGAAGGTTTAATGAGCCAATAGAAGAAGAAGTCTGTCTGTTTTATATCCGCCAATCAGAAGTGCTGTAGGAGCTCAGTTACTCACAGTAGACCAGGATAAACTAAAACAGTGACTGTGATTATTGTAAGAAAAATTAATTGTAAATGAGTAATCCTAATAAAATTGAAAAGAGGAAAATCCCTGAAATGTACCAAAATAAAATCTGACCAAAGTATAACCTTCCTTAGACCTTTGAGCCAAGAAAAAACACCAGAGGGCAGCGCAGCAGGAACTCTGTGATTTACAGCTTCGCTGGGACACAGCAGGCGAGGAGCCGCTGCAGCACCTTCAGAGTCCGACGTAGCCAAACCGTCTACTGGAGGGAGGGGCTTCTGGTCACCTTTGATGGAGGCTTCCTCAGGTAAGGGGCAAGCTGATGTGTTCACCCGTTTTTATCTGTGAGAATTCCCGTTTTTAGGAATAGCAGCCTTGAATGAAGTTCAGTGGAGTTTTGACGACAACAGCTGTGTATGTGCCGACATGGGGAGGGGAGCCTTGAATGAAGTTCAGTGGAGTTTTTGTGTATGTGCCGACATGGGGAGGGAGGTCGTGGTGTCTGCTTTGTCTTAACGTAATTATTAATTTGCCTCTTGGTGGTCAGTGCTGTCTTTATCAGAACACCAACTCAGTAAAAATGCTCAACTTCACCAGCAGGGGTGCTACTGTGTGTTTTTGTTTTTTTCTGTTTCCAGTGTGGAGTCGTCAGACGTCAACTGGAAGAAGAAGAAGAGCGGAGGAATCAAAATCATCTGTCAGTCAGAGAACAGAGACTTCTCTGCCATGGCCTTCATCACCGACCACGTCAACTCTCTGATAGAGCAGTGGTTCCCAGGTCAGACCCTGACACCTGCTGGGTGTGCGTGTCTACTACAGTTAAATTGATCTGACCTGACGTGTGGCGTTTGTCTTGATTCACAGCCCTGACTGCCAGTGAGAGTGACGGCAGTCTCCTAATAGAGCAGTACGCCCCCTGTCCTCTCTGCTCTTCACTGCAACATCAGAAGACCAGGACCAGGATCAGTCAACCTGGACTGGTCAGAGACAGAGCGGCCAAAGATGATGGTAAAATGGATGTCCATTACTTCAACATGGAGGACTGTGTACTGGCCGCCATGGAGGAGGAACACATCACCTGTCCAGAACATCCTGATCAGCCTGTCCTACTGCAAGAACTTGTCCCAGAACTCTTCATGACTGACTTCCCTGCAAGGTACTGTTTTAGTGACTCCTGAAAAATTCTGAAACTGAATGACATTAAAACTGAATTACGTATTTAAAAAAACAGTCTGAGATTAGCTGACCCATGGAGTCGTATAAAATGACCCCCCACCTGAGCCTTTTTTGGGTGTCACACGACATATATGGCTCAGTGCCTAAATATGACTGTACAGTATGTCAGATTAAGTTCTCATGTGCAGATTCCAACACACCCCAGAGGGTGGCAGCAGAACAGCGTCACCGTGAGCTAAAATATCTGTGTTCTCTCTTTAAGTATTGCTTTGGTTTCCCTTTGAAAATGTTATTTAACGTGGAGGTCACGGCCGCAGGAGGTAAACTCAGTAAAACTAAACTCACTTCTTCCTCAGTGTCCCTGCAGTGTCCTCTGGTCACAGGCCAGTTCTCAGAAACGACAGGTCATTCTGCAGAGTCAGTCTAAGTAATGCAATTAGTTAAATGTAGCATACAGTGCCCTTGGTTACCACTAGGGGCCCTCAGATTTAAGCTTGTGTTTTATGGTGAATAATAAGGAGAGGTTTTTCATTTGTAAAAGAGACTGACGTTTCCTGGACTTCAGCCTTTAATACAAGGACACACACACTCTCTCTCACACACACACACTCTCTCTCTCTCACACACACACTTTATAATAAGCTTCAGCTGATTTGTTGCCAGTAACAGCATCTGTTGATGTATTGTCAGACTCAAGGGTAAGCACCAGCACTCCTTCACACACACACACACACACACACACACACACACACACACACAGCTTATCAGTGCAGATATGTGGGGGTCGTTGGCTCTCAGCTCATCTGTTTCCACAGCTCTCCCCTAAATATTTGTGTTAATGCCGTCACAAATGCAGTGTCTCATGGGAAATGGTATAAACACAGTACCAGCAGCTTCACAGCTTTGGTATTCAGAGGACACTTCATACCAGTGCAGGACAGGAACGTTCAAACAGTGGCCTCTGAAATATGTCTCAGGGATTTCTGGATCATTTTCAGGGCAGTGTTACTAAATGTGAAATCAGTGACGGTCCAGTCCATCTTTGGACCAGTTCCAGTTTGGACCAGTCTCTTTCTCAGCTCCAGCACAATAACAAAATAATAATAAAAAAAAAATTTGACCCCAAAGGCCAGTGCTCCACGTCTGCCTGTCCAGAGTGAACAAAGCTGTTGTTTTTGTGTTGAAGGCTGTTTTTAGAGAAGCCGCAGCTGGACTTCACTGAGGACCAGAGTCACATCCTGGGTCAGGGAGGCAGCGGCACCATCATCTACAGGGCTCGGTACCAGGACCAGCCTGTGGCCATCAAACGTTTCCACTTCAGGAAGTGTCAGCAGCAGAACATCAGCATTGACACAGGTTAAAACCGGCTTCTTTCAAAGTGTTTCTAGATCTAAACAGACTGAAGCTAAATATTTAGCTGCTGCAACTTCATCAGGACATAATAAAAATATCTGAAGCTGGTAAAGTGGTAAATACTGAGGTCAGAGTGCTGCTCAGAGATAAACTGCCACAGATGAAAACCAGCTGCTGCTCAGAGTTTGGACCGTTTCTCTTCAGACACCATGGTGAGGCACCTGCAGTCGGCCGACGCCTGTCGCAGCTTCTCAGAGTTCCGTCAGGAGGCCAGCATGTTGCACTCTCTGCAGCATCCCTGCATCGTGCCCCTGGTGGGCATCAGCATCCACCCACTCTGCTTGGCCCTGCAGCTGGCTCCACTGGGCAGCCTCAACATCGTGCTGCAGGAGAAGCTGAAGAGCACCGGTATGAGAACCAAACTCTGGCTCTGGCTCTTCCTCCCCGGTTTTTGTCCTCTGTCCATCCTGAGAATTTTCTTCCTCCCTGCAGGTTCTGAGTACATGCCTCTGGGCCACATGTTGACCTTCAAAGTGGCCTATCAGATTGCAGTAGGACTGGCCTACCTTCACAGGAAGAACATCATCTTCTGTGACCTGAAGTCTGACAACATCCTGGTCTGGTCCCTGCAGGTCTGTACTGGAACTACGACAAAAAACTGATTATTGGCTGCCTCTACAGTATTTACACGTACTCGTGTGGTGTTTTAGTGTTTTTTTTCCAGTTTATTTAAGTTTATTTAACTTGTCATTAATTTCCGGACAGATACAAGAAGCTGTCAACATCAAACTGTCCGACTACGGCATCTCTCGCCAGTCTTTTCGGGAAGGCGCTCTAGGTGTGGAGGGAACTCCAGGATACCAAGCTCCTGAGATCAGACCAGGCATCGTGTACGACGAGAAGGTACTTGGTTTTGTTTTAACTTCCTTAAACCAAACAGATGAAAATACCTCAGACATACTGTATATTTACAAGAAAAAAAGGAAACAACAACTAAACTGGGCAAAACAAAACACTGGTTACTTCAGTGGTTCAGGTTTGTGGCAACCCCACAGAACTGTCAGTAAGTGCTCACAGACCTGTGACGTCACAGCTGTTGGACATCACAGCTGTTGGACATCACAGCTCCAGGTTGTCTTCTCACTGACATCAGTTCCTCAAACACACACAGTACCCAGATGGTACTGCATACTGTAGTAGTATCCTGTACTCCTCAGTACTGGGTCCTGTTGTTTCTAATGATAAAGGCTGCCCCCCCACCCCACGCCCCAACAGCGACTACTCCTTCCTTTTTTTTCTCTGTCACATATGAAAGTCTTTATAAAACGTTTGATCCCAACATGAGGCGCACATGTCGGATTAATAACCAGGAGAGAGGGAGGGAGGGAGGGGGGAGACAGAGATGCCCCCCTGCACCCCGGTGCTGCCTGATTAACTCCATGTGCCCCCCCCCCCAACCCCGCTCCCTCTCTCAGTGGAAATAGACACCACTGGTTTTTACTACGACTGTAGACGATCTACCTTTAAAGCCACACAGCGTGTCTGGGTTTTACTGGTGTCGGACCAGAAACACTAAAACATCAAACTTTAAAGACAGAAGTCTCAGCCTGTGACGAGTTTATCAGTGTCAGCGTCTGAAGAACAGAAGAGTTGGTCAATTTCATTTATGAATTTGAGGTTATAAAAATCCCTACTGTTCAGATTTGTATCAGTGTCAGTGAACACACCGGCAGCAGTGACTACAACAGAACCTTTAAAGGTTCATTATTCCACCCAATTTGGAGGGACACACAACTCCAAAACCTCCAAAACAGGTCGGGGAGGGGGGTCACAGCCCGGACAGTAAACCAGTTAATCACATGGCCATTCACACCTGAGTGAACAGTCGACCTAATGCTGCGTGTCTTTGTACGTGGACCACACCCTCACACAGGGCCACTGTGGGCCACACAGACTGGGATCCAACAAGTGGACTGGTTGGATCTTGCTCTAAGGCAGTTGTTAGTAACTGGTGGTTCATGGGTAGAATCCGGCTCGCCGAACTGTCCAATCCTTTTCCTTACATTTGTATCAGTGACTCAATCTAACCACAGGGGGCAGCAGCAGCATCTGTGTCCTCATAACCTTTAAAGGTTTGTTCTCTCTGAAGTGAAAAACTCCAGTCCAAAATCTTAAAACAAACTTTGTCCTTTCATCTGCTCTGACGACCGTGGGGAATCATCTCCATTTGATTCTGTTCTGTGCTCATCTGTGTCAGTGCTCCCCCTACTGGTTGATATATTTATTGGTTAAATTGAACTCCTGTCCCAGTTTTATCTACGAGGTTCTCACAGCCATCAAAGTCTTCCTGCTCCATTAGTCCAGATCCTTTCATCTATTGATCAGTGCTTCCACTCACCCATGTGGATCAGCAGATAGAGCAGGACCTGAACCCATTGATCAAAAGGTCGCTGGTTCGATTCCCAGCTCCTCCACAAATTAATACGGCCTTGTGCAAATATTGACACATCACATCACATGGATTTCTCAGGTGTCGAGTTGATGGACTGTAAAGGGATTAACTGAAGGACGCGGTGGATGGGCGGCGCTCCCTCAACCATCCATAATTCTGTTCATGTACATGTTGTATTCCAGTGGGCTGATGGTTTGAACCCATAACAGATGAATGTAGGTTCTGTTGGAGGATGATCCGGTGGAATTGGAGTCCAGTATGGACAACTTTGGATTTCAGGAGTCTGATTGGGAGCAGAAAAATGTTGACCTTAAGGAGGCGCTGGAGGATTACTGAATTCACATTACATTAGTGGTAATTTGTTTGAAATGGAAAGATTTCTTAGAGAAAAAAATATTGTTTAAGAGCAGATACAACTATACACCAGTGAGCTCCCCTAGGGGGAGCCAGAGCACTTCAGGAGAGGCACGAAATGGGGAAAAAGAAAGATAGTTGATAGCTGGTGTTGGATATTTTGTGTGTAAGAATATACATGTAATATACATGAGGACAGTAGACCATGTGACTGACCAACGGCAGAGAGTTAACAATGTGAGAATCTGCCAGATGTTTACTCATCACTGAACAACATCAGAGGTTATTGTAGCCTCATCAGGTTTAAGTGCTTCATTGATCGGCTAACTCAGAAGTCGGCTTCATTTTGGTAATGGTGCTGTTGGCGATGCCCAGTTTTGATCTCATAACAAAATGGATCACGTTTGCAGTGTCATGTTTATATAATGAGGTGGTTTTCATTTCCAAAATGAAACCAACTTTAACACAAACGAATTTCAGTTCTTAGTGAAATAAGTCCACATGTACAGAGAATACAGTCTCTGCTAACACATCACTGTAGCATTGCAAAGATAAAAACCAGGTGTCACTGCAGACTGAAGGACTTTTCTCCTCTTGTCTGACTCTGTTGTCAAACAGAAGGTTCTGGGTTTTTTGAGCATCCATTTACAGTTGACATGCCCGGCTGGGGGCACATTGGTTTTTTTAATCTAAAAACATCTGAGATGAAATGATATCCGTCAGGATGTGGCCTCACACCGTCCCTCTTTATGATCCATAAATCTCCTGGTAACAGCCATGCAGCTTCTTTTCATTGGCCTCCTTTCACACTCCTCTCTCAGCGGCTACTTTCTCCATCATTTATTCTCTCCCCTGCCTCGTCAGCGTCTCATTAAAGCGGTAAAACTTCGTCAGAAAGAAGGATTAAGACTCAGGAGAGAGAGCGAGGCCAAGGTTTCATTGGTCAAGGTCAGTGAACGCAGCAGGAGATGGGCTCATAAACACAAGCAGGGGATTATGGGTACTTCACTCTGCTCTTTGAAACCTTTTCCTGCTGGTGAGCAGGGAGCAGTGAAAGAGGAGAAAAAGACCAGTCTGGAGTCAGTTCCCCTGGACTGTTGGACTTAGTGCTGCAGGGATTAGCTGACACAGGAAGTGGAGATAAAGATGTGGTCTGTCTGTTTGAGTGTCACTTCAAGATGTTTCTGGGGGTCCAGGGAACCAAAACACAGGATGGGTTTTTTATTGACTAGAAATGGCACTCGTCTAAGGAAGTTCACTTTAATAATGCAGACTATGGTCCACGACCCTGGTCCCTGGTCTTTCTGGACTGGCTGTTCTATTTACATTTATTTCTATTTTATCAAGTCATTCTTTTGGGGGGTTTGTCCAGAGATAAAAAACCGAGGCCAGAACGTTTTTAAACCTTCCATTTAAAATGTGAATTTAAAACGTCAAAAATGACCAAACCTAGCCTGGCAACATCCGAAAATAACTTAGTCCCAAGATGACTAAAAGCTAATAACAAGACATCGTTAAAATCACTGTAGAAAAAAAAAACAACAGTACCAGGCCACCCAAGACCAAAAATAAAAGAAGCATGTTCACTATTTTTTTCACATGTTAGCAAACTTAGCGAACTTAGCTTACAGCATGTAAGCTAGTGAGATTGCTAATAGATAGCCAAAATAACTGAAAGCTAGCTCAGAGGCAGAAATAGATAAAATATGGCAAAATAGATTGAACATTGGAAACAAAAAAAACTGAGATGATGTCATCACTCTGTTGAAGGTTGTGTCTCAGGAACATGTGAAGAACAGACGATGTGAGATGAGTCCAATGTTTTTAGTGTGTTCCTGGAGGAATGTCCTTATATGACCAAACCATTGTTTTAGTGGTGACATCACTGCACACACATACAGATGCTCAGAGCTGGAGTTTATCAGTGATGTCAGCTCAGAGGCAGCCGTGAGAGTGTTTGCTGGCGTCGCCAAGCTCTTTAGCTCTTCAGTTATTCTGGGAATTCCCACGAATGTCGAACTCCTCCACTCTGTATCTGAACACTGGGAGGCTGGAATTCTCTGCTCTGATAACAGACTCCGAGGACAGGAGACTGAGCAGGGAGGGGGTGTGCGGGGTGGTTGGCCCTGTTCTATAAAGAGAAAGTGAAAGTCTTTTGTGTTGTTGTTGTTTTAAATTTAAATTAAAAGCCAGTGTGTCTCAGGAAGTGGAGAAAGAAAAAAAAAACTGTTCACGCAGACAACTTTCTTCAACGTCCTGTTTGAGTCAGAGATCCTTATGTTGAGTATGTTAATGAACAGTGGTTAGTTAGCTCTTAGCAGGTAGCAATAGAGGGATAGAAGGTCACATTGTTTAGGATGTGTTAAAAAACCTGACCAGTTCCTGTGGCTATTAAAGAACGTTGAGAGTGTACGGTTAGTTTCATTCAAAATGCACAGTCATCCAGTGTCATCAGCTAAAGTCCAAACAGACAGAGCTGCACTGCTGTTTGAGAAATTTCCAGCTTGTCTCACAGCTACCAAACACTACGCAGAGGACTGAACATTATTCTAATCTACAGGGAGGTTGTTAATCACCTCCAGTTGTTGATGTTTCATGCAGATGTTCTGTTACAGCCACTCTCTACACAATCCTTATTTTGATCTCTGTTCTTCTTCCTTTCACTGCTGCCTGGCTAAGGTGGATATGTTCTCCTATGGCATGGTTTTGTACGAGCTGTTGTCAGGGCGACGGCCAGCGTTGGGTCAGCACCAGCTTCAGATAGCTAAGAAGCTCTCCAAGGGTGTACGACCAGCCCTCGGCAATCCAGAGGAAGTCCAGTTCCACTGCCTTCACCGGATGCTGACTGAATGCTGGGACACTAAGCCTGAGCGGGTGAGAAGCTGTCCACACATGACCCCCACTCAGGACACACCAAGGTCTGTAGGATGGATGTGTCGGCTTCAGCTCACACTGAGGCCGAGGCTCGTCTCTGTCAGTACAAACATGATTTCTTTTAATCAGCTGTACCCCAGTGACACTACTGCATATGACCACAAGAGGCTGCAGTAAACCATTTTCTCCATGGACTTTTCTATGGAGATTTTATATTTAAGTCCAAACAACATGAGTAAACAAACTGACACCAGATGATGACATGGACACGGAGGAGGATTTTCACTTCCTGTTATTGGGTTTTGTTGTGTAATTCATTCCATCAGTTTCCCACAGCTCCCCCTACTGGACCTTCAACTCCACAGTCCAACTCCTGTAACTCATTTGATTAACGGTCTGTGGTACTGGCCAGGACTCGACTGGTCCTTAGTACAAAAAAAGTTGGGGGCCACTGGTCTACTGGACACTTGGCTTAGATTTGAGGACTTTTGACTCTGTGTCCAAAAACCTTTTTCAGTTGGACCTGACTGCTGGGTCCAGGTCTGGATTGCTGCTTTGTTTGACCATAAAGAGTTATTATGAAGACGGCATCACAGTCACTGGACCACTCCAGGTTCTGGACTTCCTGTAGGACCAGAGACCTGGATGACTTGTTTCTGTCTTTGGTCTTTCGTCCACAGAGGCCTCTGGCCCTGCAGTGTGTGCGGCAGATGCAGGACCCCAGCTTCCCTTGTCTCAGGTACGTCCTGTCATGTGACATCCACTCTCAGCTCTTCCTGTCGGAGCTGCAGGGACACAGCGCCGTCTTCTGGAGCTACGACAAGGACGGCCGGTGAGTTTCGACTCAACAGTTGGATATGTAGTTGAGGTGACAGGTTAGAAATGACCCAACAGTCAGCGTGTGTGTGTGTGTGTGTGGAAAGGAACTACAGTGTGATCAACGTCCAGAAGGCTCAGATGGAGGTGAAGAGGATGTCCTGTCCAGGAGGACGGATCAGCTGTCAGATGAAGACTGCCACCACTCTCTGGATCGCCACTGAGGTACTGCACTGTACACGGAGGCTTGTGTCCATGTATGTGAGCAGTGGTCCAGGAGTTGGACTGAATGTTGGTACTGGTTGGTTTTGGTTCTTTTTATGGATTTATTTCTAGTGAAAAGACACTTCAGATATTTAGCTAATTCAGAGTTTAAATCTTAGCCATCAGTTTAACCTTAACCACACTAAGGTTTTAGTTGTTGGTTGTTGGAAGGAAAAACTTCAGCCGAAATAAAAACATTTCAGACTTTTAGAATCTGTTCCACATAGTGTTTTAAAAGTTCCTTGAAGACCTGGAGGATTATGGACTGCAGCTGAGGGACTTGTTCTGCTGTGTTTTTGCCGTGACAGGAACAGGAAGTGTTCATCTACAGTCTGAAGGACATGTGTCCACTCAGTCAACCACAGAAACACTTCTGCTGTCCAGCCATGGTCACCTGTCTGTTTCCTGTTCCTGCTCCACAACAGGTCTACACACCTACACACACACACACACACACAGCAACCCCCCAAGCCCTCCGTCCCCTATCACTCTAGTTTCTGGTAACAGCTGGATCCACTTCAAAGGTAACCAGTGAGATTGAGTAACGACTGGAAGCTAAGCTGCAGGTCAGAGGTCAGAGGTCACACACTGTTAAAGTGTATGACTTTCTTTAGTGTTACACACTGTTTTATGGTCAGTCAACTGTCGTGGTGGTTCTCCTGCACCAGTGACGTTGACGTATGATGAACATAAACAAACAGAATGAGTGACTGGAGATGAAGGTGTTCACAGAAACACAGA